CTTCCATCCTGAATCCATGTAGAACACATGGTTTTCTTCCCTTTTTGATTTTAGCAAATGTTGCTCCATACTTATCATTAATATTAATAAATGGAATATTAAATCTCTTCAACATAAATTCCGACTCACGTGATCGGCAAGCTACCAGGAATTTCGTTTCAGTACGATTGCTTTCGTACATACCCTTCACCAACTCTTTAACTTCACATAACATGGACCCTTCACTTTCAGCTCTAAGTCCATGATGATTCTCCGTGAGGTACCTCATTTGACTTTTTTCACTTCCCGATGGTTGACATCCGCACTTCTTGGCCACTCTCGTATGCCACAGAAAGTTGTCCCCAGACATGGCTACTTCTATCGGATGATAGGTCTCGTTGATGTAGAAGCCTTGAGTATCGAAATAACAACAGATGAATTCCATATAGATAGTTGAACACATTTTATAGATTGATGTTGACTCGTTGAAGGATGATTTGAAACTGATTGAAAATCCAAATTAATCTGCGTTTATATACAAAAATTGAACCAAAGAATCGAAAAGAATCGGATCATCGTACATGAATCGATCTAATGAATCGATATCGATCTTCCGGGGTTTAGCTTCATCCGGTTTTACTAAACCAAGGTAAAACAGGAAGGATGTTCGAGATGGGTGTACTGGAAGTGATATGATTCCATTTCCGGTTAATCATTTCATCTTTTGAAATTTGAGTTGTCAAGAAACATAAATCCATTAATGTTTCAATTGGTAATGACGATGATGAAATCAACCATTGTATAGCTTCTTTAAATGGTTTGAGAGATTTCCAAAATTCAACAGGGGTTTCACACCCAGGTTTGTCTTCCTTTTGTACGAAAAATGATTTATCACTCTTCTTTTCTGCAGTCACTTTATAGAAACAGACAGATTTTTGTACTTTATCGAATGATTCAGCAAAAGCCATACAGAAATTTATCTCTGAATTTGACAGAGATACACCATACTTAGTATATTTGAAATTTTCCAAGGCACGGACATCTAGTCTCTTAACATTATCGGTAAACATTAAACGACAGATGAGATCAGGTTCTGAGACAACTACCCACGATTTAATTTCACTTGACATCTTAACTCTTCAAAATTTAAACTTTAAATGACGAGAATCGTTTATTGATGTCTGTTTAAATACAAAAGCTCAACATACGAATTGAATAGCTCCCTATTCTTTTCGGCAAATTTATCCAGAGCAGTATAATCCACCTTCCGGTTTTGTGGTTTCTTCAGTAATCGTAGTCCTTTTAGTAAACCACTAAGCACATTAATACCACTTATTTCCGTTTCCGGCCACTTCCTCTCTTTAATATCTTCTTTAGACATCTTTTTAGTTAAAATATGTATATCCAGTAACTGTTCAACCGGAAACACATCATTATACATTAAATGTAACAACGCATCACAAAATGGTCTTTGATCGGTCCAAAAATCACGAGGGGTAGTAACATTTTCCAAACATCCTTTTGAAACACTGAATGATGAAACACTTTCCTTTTTAACAATAATGTCATCAAATCTCACATATGATGGTCTCTTCTCGAAATCCTCGGCATATTCAATACAGAACTTATACTCAGAACCCGTTAATCTTACCGGACGGTTCAAAAGTCTAGGTTCTCTATCACTTTCAATAGCAATCTTTCGTTCATAAAGGCGACAAACCCTTACAGATAACTCTTCACAGGTAATGACTGACATTTTTGATTCAAATGATACAAACTCTCATTTTCATTGTCCTTTTATACTTGTCATGCATGAGTTAACGTCCGGTTTGTAAACTCTCTTAATGTTGACTCAATTTGTTCTTGGTCTTTAGCACCAGTTATAATCAACGATCCAGTCGTATAATAAATTAAAGTTACCTTATTTATCTTTATATAAACTGCAGGATAGATTTCGGTTCATAAGTTGTATCCGCATAAGTATCAATCATCATTTTCGTATTAAATGAATAATTAATGAAACTGTGGGCAGTTATATTAACAACCCTGAAATGATACCGTTCTTCCGGATATACTTCTTGTAAGACAGCTCCGCTGTTGATACATCAGTAAAACCCGTTGCTGTTACTTTACCAGATGCAAAAACCAAGAAAACTCCTTCTTTCCTACGTATAACTTCAGCATTAAACCTCTTCCGTCTATTAGTATTGTCCACATTTATAACAACCGGATCTATATTCCATAATGAAACAATATTCACAATCTCATACTTAGGCAAGGGTAACATTTCCATACTTTAGATTATCCAAATAAAACACCCGAAACAGTAAAAGAACTAAGACAACCACAATAATCACCAACGTAAGCAAAAGAACCATCATAACTGTCTTTCTAACCTTTCGTCACTTCCTTTTTATTCAAAAACCCGTTGAAAATACAGTTTAATTCTTTCTACCGGAACTTCCGGTTAATAGGTATCTTTATTATGTGGCTAGTTACTACCACCTAAATAGGGTTAAAATTGTTACCACCGGAAGTGGGTGATGCACCCGGAAAGTACTTCCACCCACTGGCAGAAGTTCCCACCGGAAGTACTGGTTGCAACCACTTTGGTCAGTTTCTCCCACTTCCGGGAGAAAATCCAGTTTCCGGGTGCATCATCCGATTTCTTTACTACTTTTGGTTAACTGGTTAATAACTCTCCACTAATGTCCATATCTGAATTTTGATAATTTTGCTTCGTTGACAAAAATTGGAAACAAATATCTAAATGCTGAAGGTAAAAATTGAGCTCCATAGACAAGCCACAAGTAGGGTGATCTTGATGTCCAAGCTTCTGTCACGTCATTTGCTGTGGCGATGGCGAAAAGTTTGGCCTGTCGGTCGCACGGGATTCGAGTATCAACCTCACTAAACTCTTTACCATAAACTTCACCAGGTTTTCCAGTGAAAGACTTGGTCAAAATGGCGGAAGCAGTAGGTCCAGGGCAGATAACGGTAACTTTGATTCCTTTAGATTTCACTTCATTCCTTAGGCAATCATAATATCCCTTTAATATTGATCCAAAAGGAATAAAAAACAAATAAAGTTAATTGTTTGATCCAAATAATTAAATAGACTTACAAGAAGAGCATATTTAGATGCAGTATAAGAGGCTGAGAATGGTACCCCAAATTTACCAGCGATACTTGAAGTGACCACAATATGACCAGGATGTGACTCGGTTAACCAGCCACTGACCAGTAGACGAGATAAATTGACCCCAGAGAAAACGTTTATCTCAAACAAGTCCCGATGAACTTGAATTTCGATCTCTTCAAATCGAGCTCGTTGACTTCGTCCAGCATTACAGAAAAATATATCGATCTAAATTGAAAGAAATTAAAGTGAAAAACAATTGAGCAAACAACTAGAACATTAGAATTTTTAATCAACAACAATTAAGAAAAGAACTGACTTGTTTAAAGTAACCGATTATCTTTTTATAAGCTTCTTCGTGTTTAATTGTTTCCGTTAAATTGAATGGGACCAGAATGATGTCCTTTTCTTGTAACCCTAATTAAGCAACAAAATTAATGATATTGTAACAATCGAGCAGATCAACTAATCATTAACTTACCGTGATGATTGATAATTTTACGTTTAACTTTTTCCAATCCTTGATTGTTCAAATCAGACAAAGCTAATTTACATTTGTGACTCGCCATTTCGTAGGCCAAGGCTTCACCAATGCCCGAAGCCGCTCGGTGATCCAAACCCGTTTACCCTTCAATGCATCACCTAGTTAATTGTTAACAGTTTATTACAATCAATCAATCAGTTACAATTAACTTTCTCTATTAACTTACCTGGGTTTTTGCCATATTTTTCAACGAGAGCCATGAAAAAGTCACAATCCATTTTACTGAAAACATTTTGATTGAGCCAATAAAAAGCAGCAATTAACAGACCGATTGAAATTAAAAGGAAAATCATATTGATTTAATTGTTTCAATTCACTTTTCAAACGATTTAAATGTAGATTGATCAAGATTGTTATTCTAATTACTTCGGTTAGATTAAATTGTAAGCATGTTACTGTTTCCGTTTAGAATCGGATTAAAGATGGAGATGATTCAATGATGACGATCGGAGAGAAAGAGAGAAAGGAAGAAAGTGAGAGAGAGGAAGATAAATTGAAACAAATTGAGAAAAGTTGCTGATTAGATTGGTCAAGATTGATATTCTAATTACTTCGTACTGAATAATTGACTATTCATTTGAATTCATAAGAAATTTTCACGTTAAACTTAACCTTTACTCAAAGAGTAACTCAGAATTATTGATCATTTTATACTTGACACTTTACAAGTAAATCTTTTGTTAACATAGTAACTGATAAAATACAAGTGGTTTGATTGTTTTTTTGTAAAAAAGAACACAATTAACTAATTAGATTATCTAAGAGAAGGTAATTAACCAACACGACATGTCCGTCGAGTATTGTCTTCTTAATTAGATCATTTTAGTGAGTGAGTGAGGAAAATCTTCGGCTTGCCGGCTTGAGTCGCTAAAGTGAGTTACACTTGTCGATTTCTGCAATTGAGCCAGTCGGTACAACATTGGCTAACTTCGAGTCTGAAATTTATTTTCTCAATCTGATTACATAAACAATTAGTGTTCCAGCAAAACTGGTCCAAAGAGTAAACTTTGTGGTAAGACTCAAGAAGATCTGTCCGGCAGCTCGATATTTTCAATTTTCGCTGATTTTTCTTTCGGCTTAAGGTTCGGTTTGATTGTCTCAGGCCCTCCGAGCTTTTCTTTGGTCATGGTGACCCTTATTAGCGAAGACCTAACCTAATTTAAACAAACACAATTAACTGAACAATTAAGTCCATTTCATATGTAGCTCGAACTTTAAGTTAAAATATCGAGCAGACGAACAGATCTTCTTGAGTCTTACCGATCGTCAATTAGATGATCTAAAAGTGGGTCCATCTCGCGGCGCTCAAAGTAAATTTTTATTCTGTGTTTTTCTCATGTGTTTGTGACTCTTTTGCCTCATTTGTTGTTGTTGATGAATTAAAAAATTGTGTTGATTTATCTCTCAATTGTTTTAAAATATACTCCATTGTTTAAAACAAAATGAGATTAAGTACCATTCTTATGTGTGTTAGTAAACTACCTAAAAGTTTTTCTAATTTCCCAGATAAATATGTGAAAAAACATACTGAATTTGTTGAATGGAAAACACCTTCAAGAGCTAATTATAACCCAACCACAATTAGATATCGAAAAAGAAGTAAAATTTATTATGACCGTTATCGTCCATGGACTCAAGCGTTTAGATCTTTAAATGAACCTAACAACCATCATCCTAGAATTTGGGTTGAGCCAATTGAAAGATTTTACATGTTCATTGGTGATAGAGTTGAAATTCTCCGTGGAAAAGATAAAGGTAAACAAGGAGTAGTTAAATATGTGGTCCAGGAAAGAAATTGGGTATTTGTCGAAGGTCTTAACGTTACCCGGTCAATTCGTAGCTTGGGTACTTATTCCGATAATTTGGTGACCCTAGTTGAACAACCGCTTCTGGTACCTCGAGATGTTGCCCTTGTTGATCCTTCCGACAAACAACCAACAGCAGTTAAATGGAAATACAATGAGGCCGGTGAACTTGTCAGAGTATCTGAAAGAACGGGTTACATAATATTAATACCATTAGAATCATTTAAAACATACGATTACCTAACACCCGATCAATACAAGGACTCACCAAAAGATACAAGTCGAGATGATGCAATCAAAGTAACTTTCGAACCAGTTTTAAAAACCTTCGAAATGGACATTGCAGACCAACATGGAATCAAAGAAGATCGAATTCCCTACAAAACATATTGGTTCTAATCCAATTAAACTTCTATATTAATCTACTAAACAATAATCTAAATAGTCAAATGTAATTTAGTCTAAATGACCCCCAAGGAAATACCGATAATGACAAAAAGAGAGCAAAAAAAAATTGATCCAAATCGGTGGGTCCAAATTCATCTTTTCTTAAATAAATTAACCATCTTTACCTACAACACTTACAAATTGTTCCATCATGTTTATCTTTTCCATGTAAAAGAGATGAGAAAAAGGTAGAGATGGTGAGAGAGAAAATGAAATTGATATGGAATAAAAAAGAAAGAGAAGATAGAAAGAGAATAGAAAAGGAAGAAAAGGAAGAAAAGAGAGAAAAGAAAGAGAAAGAATCAGTGAGCAACTCGGTGGAACACATTTGCTTGTTACTCTCCTCTCGGTCTACATTAGATTGTTTATCTAACGCTAATTAAATTGTTTCCAATTGTAATCAGTTAATCTGGTCCATATTAGAATCTTAGTTAATTGTTTCCTATCAGAATGAACGATCTATCACAAAGGCGTCTCTCGTAAGTAATTAAATCAACCTCACAATCAATTAATTGTGTCCCTTTCTTTTCCCAACCCTACCAAGCATCTTAACCTTTCAAGTCTCTTTCTCTTTTTTTCTTTCTTGTCTTTTTCATTTTCTCTATTCTTTTTTTTAATTGTCCAATGGTTACATTGACTAATTAACTGATAATATTCTTCTCTATATTCTATTATGTATCCGGATTAAAGGACTGCTGGAGATTCTCTTTATATTGTGTTAGGTGTGCCTAAAACCGCAACACCAGAAGAAATCAAAAAAGCTTATAGAAAGGTTAGTTTGTTTTTTTTTCTCTTTTCTATTTTGTATTTTCTGTCCAAGAGAATTTAAGTCGATCAATAATTTGTAATTACCTATAATTAAACGAAATTGTTTCTGTTTTTATTTCGAAACCCGTCTGGTGACTATCTTGTCTCGGATTAATACCCACTCATTTTCTTCCTCCATTGGATCTCGTTTTGGTGACATCGATGACAATTATTCTTGCAAATGAATATTCCTCTCTCTCTCTCTCTCTTTTCTCTGTCTGTTTGTCTCTCCCCTTCTCCCCTTCTCCATTTCATTTCTGATTTTATTCATCAACCTGATGATTGGTATATATTGTTTCATTCAATTGACTGCCCTTGGATTTCACATTTTCCCTGAAATATTGATAGTTGGCATTAAAATATCATCCAGATAAAAATCCTGAGAATCCAGAAGCAGCCGAAAAATTTAAAGATATCAACCATGCTCATCGAGTTTTAAGTGATCTAACTAAAAGAAATATTTATGATAATTATGGTTCTCTTGGACTCTACGTGGCCCAACAAGTCGGTGAAGAATATGTTCACACCTATTACATGCTATCATCCGGATGGTGTAAAGCTTTAATCGCTGTCACCAGTATTTTGACGTGCTGTTGCTGTTGCTGTTGTTGCTTCTGTTGCTTCAACTTTTGTTGTGGAAAGTATGTATCGTCCACTCCCCTCTTCCCTCCTCTACTGACCACCCTGTCCACTTGTTCCTCTTTCTATTTATTCCTCTCTCTCTCTCCCACCACCGAGGTCTTTTCAAACCTTTTCATACATTACATGAATTAAATGTATATGTATATTTATCATATTGGCCAAAAGGATCGATACTAACAAGATTTTCTCTTTGTTTCTTTCATTGTTTTTTCTTTCTATTTCTCTTTCTCTCTTTACCACCCCACCCCACCCCACCTTATCTCCTTTCAAATAAACAATTATCTTCCATAGATATAAACCAAAACCACCCCCAGAAGATGCTGGCGACTATTCCAATCTTAAGGTAATTATGTTGCTTGTTAATTGTGCATTTGCCAATATAGACTTTCAAACGAAGCATTTGTAACATGATAAGGTTGATTGTTTATCATTCGAAAAACAATAATCACAATTAGAGACGGGATATCACATTCCTACTTATCTAATTAACTTTTTCTAATCATTTATTACTCTTTCTCTTTTCTCTTTTCAATTGGTTACTTCTATTCTTTTTATTTCCATCACTTTTGGCATGGCTTTGATTGTTATGCTTTATTCTGATTGCATGGTCGTTTATACCCTAATTGCTGAATTAAACCAAACCCATTATTGCCTCGCATGTTACTGCCGAAATCAACAATTACTATTTCTTTAATTAACCTTGATTTTTTAATTTCATCCTTTTCCGTTTTTTAATTTTTTTTTTGGTCTGATTTGTGCCCTAATTAAATCAGGGAGATCAAGATGAACACACAAAGAGAGTAAGTTGACCATCTTAGTAATTCAACATTTGATTGTTTGATTAAAATTTAATTTTATCCAACATTCAGGGTTGAATTTACTATACATCTCATGAGAATCAAACAATCATGCTGATGAAAAAATATTCATCTTCCATCTTCAATATTGATAAATAATTTAGTTTCCATTACAAACTGAAACAAAAATATTGAGAAATAACGGAAGTTTAATTGCTGAATGATTTTCACTGTAAATTGTTGCTCGTAAATTCATTTACTGATTATATTTTTTACTCTCTATCTTCATCTAGGAGGAATTTGAAAGTGATAACGAAGCTGGTAAACCAGTGATCAACAAACAACCACGAACTGGAGCTGGTTCATCAACTGGACAGTCATGGGATCCATCATCTGACCCATGGGATACTAGCAATCAAACACCCATAGCAATGCCTCCCCCTGCAAATGAAAGGACAGGATTGAACACAGGCTATTCGAGTCAGTATCAATCGTGGGACTAAATGACAACATTAACCAACTACCGTTCAAATTGATTCAGTTTTTTTGGGAAAAAAAGATTGAAGTAAATACTCTATCTCTCTCTCTCTCTCCTGTCAAATCACATTGTGTTTTATCCGCATCTCCTTTATCATCTCATCGTCATTTTTATTTTATCATTTTGATTATTTCAAACATTTAATTATGATCGACCATAGGCTTTGTGCTCTGCACCCAAGGAGATAGAGAAATCGCAAGAAACGATAACCAACAAAAAGTTTTCTTCAACTTCAATCCAGTTGAAAGCCTAATCTTCTCTTCTTCTTCTTCTCTTTCATCATCATCATCATCATCCTTATCTTCATATTCTCTTCTTCATCTTTTGTTCTAACATTCAAATGATCCACCCATCAGATGATCAGTATTTCAAAGAAGATGGAGATGAGCAATTAAACTTCTCAACATTGGCTTGTAATTTTTGGTAGAAGTTGTTTCATCGTAACACTGATAGGAAATCATCTTAACTGATCAATTTATCTTCTTCTTGATTGTCTTTCTTTTCCTCTTAAATGGTCAATCTAAATCATTTGAAAAACAACAAATTAACAAGAAAGAAATAGATGAGTTGCGACGATTAAAGCGATTAATCTAATCATAACAATTAAGTTTTATCTGTTCTGCATCACCATTCTCATAATCACACTAACCTTAAATATCAATTGACAATTAAGGTTTTACTTTCTGCAGGTTAATTGTTATGCAACCGTTTCTGTTTCCTTAATCATAATTACCTTGAATTTATATTTTCTCTGTTGAAATAATTTTGATTCTTGTTTTACCAACAATTAAGACTTACGACTAATTCTAATACATAATTTCTCTTTCTCTCACTTTCTATTCATGTATTAGATTGATAATTAAACACAATTTACGGCTAATGGTTTGATATTGATGATTTGTGAAAGAAATGAAGTCAACTGATTGTGATTCTCTAATTATGACAATTAAGCTTTTTTTTTAATTTCTCATTTTTCTGATTATCTATTAAAATTAATTTCCTTTTATCTTTCAGTTTCCTTACAATCAACTAGTCATAATGTTAATCCCATTATACTAATTACAACAATTCAATGTATTTACAATTAATATTAATCATTTGTGGTCACTTTGTGAGTTTCATTTTTTGAAATGAATGTTAATATTAATTAATTAAATACACATTCCCTGATTAATTGATGATGATTAAGGTTAATGTGCCATGCACTTAAACAATAGAAACAAGAATTAAACAAATTGCGTGTATGTGTGTGTGTAATTAACCAACAATTAACTCTGATCAACAAATTTAAAGATCGATCTCTGTCTCTTTCCATTGAATTTTTTTTTTCTCTCTTTTCAAAATTTTCTTAATTATGTAATTATTTTGGAAGAATGTAAATCAACAACAAGATCTCACAATTAACAGCAACAATTAAACAAAAAATGACACAACAATCAGCTGATTAATTGGAAACAAACAAACAATCTATAAATGTAATTCCTAATTAATTGTCGCTCTTATTTTGTTTTCTTCCTTAATCATCACACTGATTTTTTTTTCTTAAATAAAAAGTAAACACGTTGAATGCACAAAACACAATTAAATTAATTGTCTCATCAAATTTATATTAAAGTTCTGAGTCTACTCAGTAAAGTTAAAGACGAAGTTTAATCGTTTGATTAGTTCGTAGTTACTACTGATTAACTTGATGGAATAATAATTAGATAGAAAGTAAACTTAATTTCTGCAAATCAAATTAGCGAAAATTAAAATTAAGTTGGAAATAATTTCCAATATTATTGATATTGTTTCCTAATGGAAATTAATTTATCTAATTGTTTGTTTATAATTCGAGACGAAAAATAATCGACTTACATAACCGTTAAAATCGATTCTTTTTTCCAATCGATTGAAATCGAACTTTTTTCTTTTCATTTGTGATTATCAACAGAAAACATGAACTTCATGATCATCTCCTGAAATTCATTCCACTTTTTTCTTATTTAATTGTTCTCTTGTTCTCTTGTTGATTTATTCAAATGTTATTTCTGTTAAATATTGATAGAATTAAATCCATGTTACCAATTAATCGTCAGTTATAAATATCGATCGTGTTTGTTAATCCAATCTACTTAATCCTGAGAAACACCCAAACGTTAAAACCATTTACATATTTTTTTGTTTTCTTCCAGTGAAAAGATCAATTGTCTTTTAATTTTCTCATTCGTTCCATTAATTTAATTCTCTCGATGTTGTTTGTATTTTAATCTTCTACCATGTTGATCACCGAATATCGTATTCCACTTCCACTATCGGTTGACGAATACCGAGTGGCTCAGCTCTACATGATTGCTGTAAGTCTCCAATTTTTTATTCTATTCTCCTTATATCCAATATCTTTAAAATTGTGAGAAGCTTTTTCTTTTTTTCTATTCTCTTTCTCTCTTTTCCTATGCTCTTTGCTCTTTGTTTACTTTTTCTCTTTTTTTTAATATTCTATTCTCTTTTATTCATTTATTTTGATTATTTCAAATTCTTTTTATTTATTTGCATCTTCAACTCTCTCATTGTGATCTAAATTTTAACCTTTAACCTTATCCCTTCTCCTTGGTAACTATTCCTGACCACTTAATGGTTTCTAACATATGTAATATTTCAAAATCTTAATCTCCTTTTGTTTAAGATGAACATTTTTTCAATTCTTTCAATTTGTTGTCATTGTTGATTGTCAATTGATTGATCCATTAACCAATTGATTACTTGTGAATAGATTTAATCAATTTTCAGTTAATTCAATGATTGAAAATCATGATTTAGAAGAAGAAGACAGATCGAAAAGTCAATGAAAAGAGAAAAAGGAAAAGTCAAAGCATTTTTATGGTTATCATCATCTTTTTTTCTTCTCTTCCTTCTCATCTTCTCATCTTCTCCTTTTCCCTCTTATTCTCTTCTCTTTCACCTTATTTGTTACTCTTATTTTTTATCATTTTCTATTTTGTTTTTTTTTTCCTCATCTTCCTTCATTGTCGTTATTATCTTCTTCGTCTTCTTTTCATCCTTTTTGTCACTTTTTCTCCTTTTCAATGGAAACCTCTAAAGGGATTCAATGTTCATTTTCCTTCGAGAATATTACTTAATTACCTAATTGGATTTACCTTGAAATCCATCACATCCTCAATGAGATTAGACAATGATCATCCATAATCTTCATCATAATCAATATGGAAGACATTTTTTTTCTCGTTTGCAAACTTCAATTATCAACATTAATTAAAACAATGATTAGTATTTAATGAAAATGATAACTTGTTATTATTATTCTATTAATAATTAAGACCTCAGAAGTCAAGGATTATCTTATCCTATTTAAATACCATTGATTAACTTTGATACTAATAATAATCACTAATAACAATTAAGTAATTATCCTTGAAGAAAATTGATAACCTTGAATAGATATTAATGTTAATTACCAATTTCATAAGTTTCAAGATTTGTTAATCACAAATGTCAACATATTAATGTTGACATTTATTAAACAGTTAGACAGTTAGTTTCGTAAACAAGAGTTTAGTTAATTAAATGATTCTTAAATCTCTATATCCTGAATCTTTTATCATCATCATCAATACAATATTAATAATTCAAAATTATTTTCCAAAATTCCAATATGTTTCCATGATAATGATGATAATCGTTAAAGAAAGAGTATCGTTTGTATATATTGTTTTACAAATAGAAAAAATCAGCTGAAGAAACAAGTGGAGCCGGAAGTGGAGTTGAGATTCTGGTAAATGAGCCTTATGTTGATGGTCCAGGAGGCCAAGGTCAATATACTCACAAAATTTATCACATTGGTCAACATCTTCCGGGTAAGTGACAGACAAACAAATGAAAAGATTGATATAAGATTTATCCTGATTTTCCTAAAATGATTCATATCTCTCTCTCTCTCTCTCTCTCTCTCTCTTCACTTAATCTCATAGGTTGGCTAAAAGCTTTGGTACCCAAATCAGCTGTAGTCGAGGAGGAGGCTTGGAATGCTTATCCTTTCACCAAGACCCGTTATACTTGTCCGTTCATGGAAAAATTTTCCATCGACATTGAGACAAGATACTTTGACGATCCAGGTCACCAAGAAAATGTTTTCAATCTCCCAAGTTCTGATTTAAAGTCTCGAGTAGTTGGTAAGTAATTTACCATTTTCTCAATCATAACAATAAAAGTAATAATTTATCGCCAAATAAGATAAATAGTCTTTCAACAACTAATTCAGTTTCATAAATTACATTTATATATGTTTCTAATAATAATAATAATACAATCTTATGGTACAGTGATAGAAAAATAAAATACCAGCAATGATAAATACAATTGACAATATAAAAGTTAATAATAACTTTAGTATTAGATTTGATTTCCTCATTTCTTCTCATCCTTTTTTCCTCATCCGCACTAACTCTCACTCCCACTCGCACTCCTCTTCCCTTGTATCTTGATCGTTTTATCATCATCATGTTCATCCTATTCATTATAATTCTCATTACAATTCTCACTCAACTTCCTTTCAACTCAATTATCTGGACAATATTCGAGCCTTTTCCGTTGTTGTTACCATTTTGTTTTCTCTCCGAATCCCCAATCAGTAAATTGTTTGGTATTAAGAATAAATCAAAATGTATTTACATTTATTATCATGATTACTATTTATACTCATGATTATGTTAATCATTATTGTCATTGTTGTTATTTCATCATTAATATACTTTGAAACATCAACATGCTTGTTAAGATTGTTAATATTGTCATATTTTCCTGTTCCATTTTTCCATAGGCATATTCAGTATTCACTATTTTTGACTTAAACACCTATTCAACCATTAATCTAGGGCTTAATTAACATTTAGTTGATGATACTAATTAAAAGAAAGAAAAATCTGTAATTATCAATACAAAAGACCAGAAAATGTGAAAGTTTAACCCAAAAAAAGACAGAATCATAATATGAGAAAAACTTTTCCTGTGTTATCACCAAGATACAAATGAGTTTACAGTTGAGTTAATTATGATGATGATAATAATATTAATTATAATTACCACACAATACAAAAAGCATATTTGGTTTTTCACCATTGATTAACAACCTTAACTAATACAAATCATTAACTGTTGCTGTTATTATAACAAATGATTATAATATTAAATGTAACAGTTAAAATAAATTAACTACAGTCTATTTTCAGATTATCACATTTTTCATTGATTCAATGAAATAAACAATTATAACCATTTAATTTATATTATTATAATTCTTACTCTTACAAATACTATATTTACATTATCTAGCAAAATACTAATCAATTACTGTTAATTTTGATTAATTTCTGTTTATTCATTTTAAATGATTGAACAAATATTTAGATTTAATTGATATTGTACAAGATCAATTGTTATCCAATGAATACAAAGAGGAAGAAGATCCAACCATTTTTGTTTCGCAGAAAACTGGCCGAGGCCCGTTAACCGAAGATTGGATTGAAGATCATTGGGAGGCCATGAAAAAAGGACCGACCACTTCGATCTCAGATAAACGTATAATGTGCGCTTATAAGTTGGTTCGTGTCGAATTTAAATATTGGGGAATGCAGAGTAAAATTGAGAAATACATTCACGAAGCTCGTAAGACTTTATCCTTATTATTAAGCTCTAAAGTTCTTGTCCTTAATTCAATTTATCAAATATAATCACTAATCATTAGTTAATAGCATAGTAATAATATTATGTGTCTCTCTTTTTCCTTAACAAAATTATTCAATTGAGTGGCTTAAAGTGTATTAATATATACAATCCTTTTTGATAAATCGATAAAAAGACAGAAAAAAATTGACTGAATATTTTTTCATTGATTATCATGATGATCACCAAAGATCTTGTTATTGATAATATTTTGTTTTTCTAATGAACTTTGGGATTTAATTCAATTAATTTTCATGTTTATTTATTTGATTGATTTTTTGATGATTAATTGATTTTTTTTTGCTTCTTCTGTTTATTCATTAATTTTTTTTTGATGATTTTTAGCTCTTCGTAAAACTATGTTACGAGCTCATCGTCAAGCTTGGGCTTGGCAAGATGAATGGTTTGGTTTAACTATGGATGATATTAGACGTTTAGAACGAGAAATTCAGGAACAATTAGCACGGAAAATGGCGGCAATAAATGATCCCAATAGTTGTAAAGACAATCAAGGCTCAATCGAATCAGGTTCCAATAATGTCAATACCTCAAACACTGGTAACAATAGCAATTCAAGTAATAGCAATACCATGGAAACTAGTCATTCATCACAAGAAGTTAATTTAGATGTGATTGATAAGGATAAAGATGATGAGATTAAAAAGTTATCCATTGAAATCCCTCGCAATAAAAGTCCATCACCAATCAGTCAACAACAACAATCTAAATCAAAAGATCAAATTTCCGAACAACATTATCAAGACTCACAAAGGAAACTTTCATTGCGTAAAAGCTCACGAACGGGAATTCACTCTCCAGGTAGATTTTATATTATTCAGAACGATGTAAACAATTTACTAATCAATGTAATTCTTGCTTAAGGTGAATTGTCTAATCAAAGTTTTGATGTACAAATAGCTAATTGGAGGATGGGAAGTATTGCCAATGAAGAAGGAGAATCAAGTTCCAATGAAGAGTTTTATGATGCTCAAGGTATTGTCGTTAAATTATTTCGATCTTAATCACCATGTTATTAATAAAAGTTCTAAATAGAAACTTTAATCATTCCCATAGTCATTATGAGCATTATGATACAAGCTTATGATGCAAATTGTTGAATTTTTAAAATTCTCATCATTTTCTTTATTTTCATATTATAGAAATGCTTGAAAGAGAATCATTATCAAAATGGAGTTCATTGGAATTCTCACCTCCAGACGATCCAAATGAATCGGGAACAATGATCAAAGATCATCAAGATGCATCAGGAACTGAGGGTAAATTTATTATTCAATAATAATCTTTGAGTCTATTTTTTTATTCATATTGTTAATTTTCATTTAATATTTACAGACAGTATATTTTCAAGCTCATTTATCCATAAAACTCAACTTGAACATTCCCGTAAACATATTTCCAGTATTATGACTTGTGGTTCAATGGACCATTCAACACCCACCTCACCCACCGCATCACCTAGTCATCATATTCACCATCATCATCCATTAACATCAACTTCATCTATTCACTCTCATCATCATCATCATCAACATACCACCTCTCATACTGTTGTCAATACTTCATCAACCAGTTTCTTGATTATCGTTATTCATGGTGGCAATATCCTTGAATCAGGGGCTGAACCGATTTCATCTAAAAATCTGATTTCACCACTTTTCGTGGAGCATTTGAATCAGTTATCAGATCACATTATCCTTCATTAACGGGAAAGATCGCATTTCGTTTAGTAATTGCTCCGGCAGTTTGTGCTGACGCACTCGCTGTACTTTCAAGTTTAAGTCCTTACAGCTTTCAATCATCGCCTTCGGCTATTGATGGTATTTGTCATTCCTATGAAGCGGTTCCCTTTGGTTCGTTGCCATTGTTTGCCATTTCCTCTCAAGAATATCAAGAAAATGTATCAAAAGTTATTAATTCTGCAAACTCAGTATATCAAGAGTTTCTCAAATCAGAGGAGGGTATCGGTTTCTGGAGGTATTATCTTAATAGGTGATTCTATTGGCTCTGTGATAGGTTTCGATGCTCTTTGTCGTTCATCTCTTAACAATAATGCGACCTGTTCCTTTAATGGAAGTGATAATTCAATTGCAGACTGTGGCGGAGAAAATAATTCAACCACTTCAGGTGGACCAAGTAGACCTAAATCAACATCTCCGGCAAACTTGGCACTTCGTCAAAATCCACTTATATCTATTTCCGATGGATCTGGTCTAGAGGATTGTGATGATTCAAATAACGCTATTAAATGTGATTCATGTCGACCAGCATCATCATCATCAACATCAGCACCTCCTCCATCTCCCCTCTCTCCATCTTCTACTACCTTTACAACTCCTGTTACAACAACAAACACTCATACCACGGGAGTAACAACAACCAATCGTAGAGGAAAAATGTTCAAAAATCGATCCCAAGATTCATTTAATAACAACCATGAAGATAATGTTCATCTCTATCTTAAACTACTTTCAGCTCCTGAATCTCGTCGTCGAAGCTCAGGCGATTCAAGTGATCAAAGTTACTCCCATAAATTTGAATTTGATGTTAGTGATTTTTTCATGTTCGGCTCACCTTTAAGTTTGGTTTTAACTTTTCGTAAAATGCTTTATCTTGAAGACAAAAATTGTAAGTCCAACACGAAAATAGACTTAAAATTACTAATACGATTTAATTTTCTATCTATAATATTTCCAAATTCTAATCATTAAACTGTTCTTTATCATTAGCTATGTTTGCCAAACCGAATTGTACACAATTGTATAATCTATTTCATCCCATGGATCCAACAGTCCTCAGAATCGAGCCCCTTTTAAGTGCTCGTTTCTCTCACATTCCCCCAATCAACGTTCCAAAGTATTCGAAATTCCCGTTAGGAGATGGACAGAATGTTTTCTTAAGTAAGTGTATCAATTAGTCATTTGTTATTCTCGAATTTATCTCTCACTCTCTTTGATTCTTTGTTATAACTCAACATTTATCTTTTCCTCTAGGTGATTGTATTAACCACAATGCCCATGTTTTTACAAATTCATCGTTGACCATTGGGCAGCATTCTTCATACCCTCGTCGTGTTAGTGACATTAGTGTTGCTTCCGACGGTTTCAATGACATACTTACTACACCATTAGTACAACAAAGTAAATTATAAAATACAACTGATTGTTTTAATTCTTATTAATTGTTAACTCATTTTTCTTTCACTTCAGTTAACCAAAAATGGTGGGGAAATAAAAGGCTGGACTATGCGCTTTATTGTCCAGAAGGATTGACAAATTTTCCAATCCATTCATTACCTTACCTTTTTCATGCAAGTTTCTGGGAGTCTAATGATGCTATTGCATTTATTTTACGACAGGTAAACATACAATTTGATGGTCTTAATTGTTAATATTTACTAATCATTATTATTTAATTTAATCTTTTAGCTTGTTCGGACTGATTTACTTCCTCTAAGTGAACCAGAAAAAGAGTTTGCTCCGTTTGTACCAAATCAAGGGAAAGAAAAATGGATTCGTAAACGAACCTCAATCAAAATTAAAGTAATTCAATGAACAATACTCAGTGATTCAGATATTAATAGAATTTCATTTTTCTTTAATCAGAATATTACAGCTAATCATCGAGCTAATGATGTGATTGTTAAAGAAGGTGCTGGTCAAATCATCGCCGCTCGTTTCATGTACGGACCTTTAGATGTAGTCACTCTTACTGGAGAAAAAGTTGACATTCATATGATGAAAGACTTGACCCTTGGTGAATGGACTTATCTAAGTACAGAGACAACTGATAAAACAGGTCGAATATGTTATAGTATTCCAATGGAAAAAGCTTTAGGATTTGGAATCTACCCTTTTAAATTAATTGTTCGGTTAGTATTAATATTCTATTAACTTGATTATGATTGTCTAATTATTTTTCAACGTTTTATTTTCTCTAGTGGCGATCATACATCTATCGATTTCTTTCTCGCTGTGGTTCCACCTAAAACGGAAGTTGTCGTTTTCAGTATCGATGGTTCGTTTACGGCAAGTGTATCGGTCACTGGAAGAGATCCTAAAGTTCGCGCTGGAGCGGTTGATGTTGTCCGTCATTGGCAAGAACTCGGCTACTTAATCATCTATATAACTGGTCGACCTGATATGCAACAGCAAAGAGTTATTTCTTGGTTATCACAACATAATTTCCCCTTTGGTTTAGTGTCATTTGCTGATCGTCTTTCAACTGATCCTCTCAAACATAAAGCAGAATATCTTAAGAATCTTCAACAAGAGGTTCGATTTAATTTTATCTATCATTTAATTGATTGGTTGATCTTTTTTTTATTAATATTTGTATCTTTCTATTTAGAGTGAGGTTGTTATTCATGCTGCTTATGGTTCATCCAAAGATATTTGGGTTTATCAACAAATCGGTTTGAGACAAGATCAGATTTATATTGTTGGTAAAGTTTCAAAAAAATACCAAACCAATGCCAGGGTAAGAAAACAATTTTCAATTTTAACAATTGAAATTGTAACACGAGTTTAATTTGCTATTTCATTGGATATAATTTACAGATTCTTAGTGAAGGTTATGCTGCCCATTTAGCTGAGCTTGTTGTTCCTGGTGCTTGTAGACCTGCAATTGGTAATGCAAGGATGGTTTTACCTCGTGGATGCTTAGGAATGGGCACTTACCCTGGACTGGGTGGAATTCGTTCTCGTAAATCAGCAAAGAAAACATCTTCTTATCCTCTGGTCTTTAACAGCGGCAATAGATGTGGCGGTCGAAATGGAAGTGGTCAAGGTAACAGTTCGCCAGGAACAGTTTCTTCCGCTCACGAGCCAGGACCTTTTACCAGTTTTTTCGGTACTAGAGGAGGTTCTAATAAATCTAAATAAAAATAAACATCATTTGGATAAATCTCTATATTTGCCAACCAATTAATAACAATTAAGACATCAATGCTAATAACATTAAAGAAATATACAATATACACAATGTATTATTTAAGTCTTAATTAAAGCAATTCAGCTAATTGTTTGTTTTCTTTTCGTAATCACTTGAAAACTTGAAATTTTATCAGATTTTTGTTAAAAACGCATAGAAAAAAGTGTTTCGAAATGACAAGTGTCATAATATATTGATTGTTCCCCTGAATGGACTAAATGATAATTATGGACGATTATCTTGTCGGTTGATCATTTCCTCTTCGTCGGGGTCAGAGCTTTATTTAATCGTCGACTGTATCATTGATTGTCTTTTTTTCTGGTAAAATGAATGAAGTTAGATCTCCAATCATAAACAATGTCGCAAATATGAAGATGAAGATGAGCAATTAAACTTCTCAACATTTGATTGTAATTTTTGGTAGAAGTTGTTTCATCGTAACACTGATAGGAAATCATCTTAACTGATCAATTTATCTTCTTCTTGATTGTCTTTCTTTTCCTCTTAAATGGTCAATCTAAATCATTTGAAAAACAACAAATTAACAAGAAAGAAATAGATGAGTTGCGACGATTAAAGCGATTAATCTAATCATAACAATTAAGTTTTATTTGTTCTGCATCACCATTCTCATCATCACACTAACCTTAAATATCAATTGACAATTAAGGTTTTACTTTCTGCAGGTTAATTGTTATGCAACCGTTTCTGTTTCCTTAATCATAATTACCTTGAATTTATATTTTCTCTGTTGAAATAATTTTGATTCTTGTTTTACCAACAATTAAGACTTACGACTAATTCTAATACATAATTTCTCTCTCAAATATAACAATTAATGAAGAGAAAAACTCAATATCATAATAATGATAAAAACTCTTAAAATCAAAATAATCAAATTGATTCTCGATTAATATTGATGGTTAACAAACGGAAAATCATTCAACCAGGAACAACAGTTAACCATTAATAGGAAAATTTGATTGTTCATCTTAATCATAAACCGTTATCGACCGTTGATTGTTGGATTATAAATCCAATTCTATGAGCCTCTTGATTCTCTTCCTCAATTTAAATTCATCTTAACACCTTAATTAAACCTCACACTGATTAAACAATTTTCTCCAACAATAGAATCCAAATTGTTACCTGTAATCACCTTTACCTTCAACTGTTTCCTTCTGTCAGTGAACTTGACTCAGAATCTTCAGAAACTTTTTCTATTCTTATTTCATTCATCTCTTTAGCTTTTCTCTCTCTCTTTTTCTGGTTATTTTTGTATCTTTTAGGTTCCCGGAAGACAGAAAAGGGAGAATAGAATATAAACTGGTTGAGAAAGAAAGAAGAAAAGAAAGAGAAAAAGAGAGAGGGATGATGATGATGAAGATGAAAAGAGAGAAAACCAACTCACCTCCTTTAGTGTTTACCTTTTTCTCTCAATCTTTTTGTATGTTACTTGAATTATCGTCAGTTGATCATCATCACCATCACTTAATCATCTCTCCATCTCTCTGTTAATCATCACCATTTAATCACTAATTAACCAGTTAATTAATCATGTTGGTCGCTTTGAAATGTGCTCGTGATATGTTAACCAAAATGTCATACAAAGGATTTGAGATTAAGGATGAGAAAGATTTTTGTAAATGTTTACTTTCAATTGTCATTGATTATTTTGGTTCCATTTTCCATGATGAAGATAATCAACATCAGGAGACAATTTTTCATCATTTAGCTCAAGGTAAGTCAACAATTAAATGTTTCAAAATTCATTTAATTCCAACAATTCAATCAAATCCGATTCACAATCAACCACTGTCATTATTTTCCCAATGGTAACTGTTACCTAGTTTCTAGATGACCTAATTTTTGATTTGTTTACATGAAAACTTGATTACAATCAATTGTTTCCTATTATTTTGAATTAATTTTGCCCTTAATTAACTTCAATTGTCTTTCACATCGATACTTCATCAACAATCAGCCGTTAATTGTTACTAATCCAATGGAAAGTCAACCGATATTCATTGTCAACATTGGTGCTTTTTTGTTGATCAATTTTTCAATTGTTCAATTACAATGACAATTTATTTTATCTTTTCAATGATCACGATGTTTATTAATTTATTTTTACAAAGTTAATCATTGACAATCAAGTAATTGTAATCTCTTCAACTTCGCGGATAATTAACTATCTTGATTGTTGAAAGAAAAAACCTATTCAATTTATGTAGATAATGAATGGGGAACTTTTCAACTAATCAATTATTCATAATGATTAAGCAAATTGACAATTATCACTAATCCATTGAGCTTTTAAATGATACAAAGTAATTGTAATCAACTCGAGATCTTCTTGTACAATTAACTATTCCAATTGTAGTATCCAAAGTGATAATATTAGTTATCTACAGATTTGATTGTGATTAATTGTCAAAATTTTTCTTATCAATTGATTATGAAGCTTCTTGACTGTTACATAATTAACTAATCCATTGAATGATCAGCCAGCTATTAATAGTTAATCATTTGAAATGATTTCAATGTTATGAATGAAAATCTAATCATAAATAACTTGACTGTTAATTTCAGTATCAGACTGATTGTAATCAAGTTCATCACTAATTGTGACCTAAATTTGATTAGTGGGCAAGTTAATAATCAAAACTTGAATCAAGTTTGAGAGTACCAATTTTTACCTCTTTGATTACTGTTACCCTTTAATTGTGACCCCAAGAACTAAATTCATTAACATGTTTTAAATTGCTGAATTCTAATTCAATTATAACCTGGTTAAATTCAAGTTTATTAAGGGATTGAAAGTTTTCATGTTAATTGTTGCAGTAAAATCAATCGTTTGTAATGTTTATCAAAAATAACAAAATTCAATCTGATTATTGGGATTCAAGAAAAGCAATTTGATTGTGAGATAATTAGCTAATTTCTAAGCAATTTAATCACCTGATTACTACAATTATTGATAGTCGATTGTATCAATTTCCAAGATCATTTATCTGTAACATTGATCATCATTCTGATACTCTAATCACTTGATTATATAATAATATGATCGATACAAATTCTGTTTCAATCAGCTGAGCTATTCAATTGATTGATTGGTCATTTCCTGGTCATTTGATTTAGTATTTTGTTTGATTAGTTCATCAACTGTATCAGTGATTTCCTTATCCTTTGTTTCTGGTAAGATGAATGAAGTCGCTGCTCCGATCAATCCAAATGTCGCAAACAGAGCGAGGGTTATCCTGAGGTCAACTCTAGCAGTCTATCAATTGTAGAATCGATAATTAGTTAAACAATACTACGAATTCAATATAATGGTACTTACAAATTGTGCAACATACGGAGCGGAGATTGTTGCAATTCGAGCGGCAGTTGAACAAGTACCAACTCCAAGGTGTCGAATAGAAGTGGGAAAAACTTCAGGTGAATATACATAAAGTGTTAACATGGTACTAGCGGCGAAAAACTTGCCAACCGTCAATAATATAGTTCGAAGTGCCAAATATTGGGATGAATTCACCAGCGGAATCGTGTAAAAAAGTGTCATAGAAACACACATACAAAGAACGAAGATCAACTTCTTCCTCTTGATCTTTTCAACCTTCCAGGTCAAGAAAACCAAAGCGACTATTCCGGCGATCGTAAAGAATGCATTGTTAATGAATATGTTACCCGAAAGGTCAAGGGTTGTGTAGGTCAACCCATAGAAATTAAAAATCATAGTGAACCAAATAACGTAAAGGCCACAACAATATTTGAGTAAAGTTGGATTTCGATAAAGATTGAAAATCGTTTCTTTTTTCTGAGTCGATTTTAAACTGGACAAGACATTATCTCGAAGTGAAGCAAACTTCAATTGGAATGTATCTTCGTCCATTTTACCTTGACCAACGGAGTATTTTCTCAATACTTTCTCAGCTTTATTCTCTTGACCATTGACCAATTGCCATCGAATTGATTCCGTTACTTTGGGCATAACAATCGTCAAGCAAAAGATTTGAAAGATCGCTGATCCTAAGTAAATGTGTCTGAAGTTGGAGACAAAATAAGTGACCAGTATCATGACATATTCACCACCAAACCAAATCCAATCAAAACTGACCACCACTTTACCTCTTACTTTAGGTCCAACACTTTCGACAAGAAGTAATAGAGAAGCTAAATATCGGCCAAAACCTCCGATTCCATGTATGATTCGTACAATTGTGAACATTTGAATGGACGACGAAAGGAATAATAAAATACCACAGATTATCTCAGTCAATATACATCCGATTATTGCTTTTTTCCGACCAAACTTATCCGAAAGTGACCCTACCAAAGGTCCAGAGATCAAATATCCTATTTGGTAGGCCGATAAGGCCAACGATCTTTGCCAATAATTTTCACAAACCATATTCCACTAATTCAATGTAAACAATTAATAAGTTCACTATTCGGTAATCAATTCCCTACCTCTTTTGTTACTGTTCCCCTCGTTGTATTGTGACCCCAAGATGCGCACTTATTCAGATTCGCAAAGGTACATCGGTCCGACCTGATTGCGACCTACACCAAATCAAAAAAATAATCTTGACCTCGTAAAGTTAAGACTTTTTAGACTCGAAGTTGTTATTGATCGTTGAAATTACTCACCTTTACCCCTGAAGGCTTAACACACCAAAGGTCACTTTTAATCACATAGTAAAGGAGACTTTGATTGTTGAACGGAGCTGCCCAGTATACGATGACCAACAGAAACATCAATCGCCGTTGCAACGGTCCCCAACCTCCGATGATTCCAGAAACATGTTGAACGTTTTCACCTAAATCATCATGATTCGGATTAGTTGATTGTTTTAGAGATTTAGTTTCCTGTTGTCTACTCATCTTACGATCAAATAATAATAACAATTAGTCATAGAAATTAACAAATCGTTGATTCAAAATATAATCCGATAAAATTAACGATCAACTTTTCAACGTTGATTCTAATTCCTTGGTGTTGAAACTGAGATTAAATATAATCTTATTACATTTGGTGTTATGATTTTTTGATTGTTACAATTGAAAAATTAAATTGTTGACTTAGTTTTTCCCCATCACAATTGGTTATTGTGATTCTAAATCATCAAATCGTCATTTTCTCATCCTTATTATCATCATAAGTAACGATAACCTTGTCCTCTCATCGTTTCCGTTTCAATAGTGAAATTTTAATCCGACAAAAGTTTCAAATGTACAGTTCAAGTCTTTTGAACGATTTACTGTTCGATTGATCAGATTTTCTAGCAATTTGATTGCGCGATTGGTTTTTTAAGATGGAAAATCTTATTATAAGATTAGACCAATTAAATGAAAATTTCGTAGCTTATTTAGTTTCTATGGAGATAAATTTTCCTCTTTAAATTAATTACTATTCCCTCTCTTCCTTAGCAAAGAGTAAAATGTTTTTCATTTTGTAATAGACTAAATTGTGATAATATCTGATAACAATTATCTTGATTATCTAACTGGCATATGTCAATATTGATCATCTTTTAATCATTACAAATCGTTAATCACTTTGTTGATTAATTTACATGTGATTCGAATGAAAGAAAAAAGTTTTGGTAAATAGTTATTAGTGTTTTCTGTTGTATTCAGACTTATTAATTGTTTGAACAATTTAGATGATAATTATGGACGATTATCTTGTCGGTTGATCATTTCCTCTTCATCGGGCTTAGTACTTTGTTTAATCATCTCATCAACTGTGTCACTGATTTCCTTGTCCTTTGTTTCTGGTAAGATGAATGAAGTTACAGCTCCAATCATACCCAATGTCGCAAATAAACCGACTGTTATCCTAAGGTCAACTCTAGCAGTCTATCAATTGTAGAAATGATAATTAGTTAAACAATATACGAATTCAATATAATGATACTTACAAATTGTGCAACATACGGAGCGGAGATTGTTGCAATTCGAGCGGCAGTTGAACAAGTACCAACTCCAAGGTGTCGAATCGAAGTGGGAAAAACTTCAGGTGAATAAACGTAGAGCAGTATCATCATCGAAGAGGAGAAAAATTTTCCAGCGGTCAACAAAATAGTTCGAGGGACAATATATTGTGGAGTATATAACAACGGGATCGATGCTAAAAGTGTCAGTGATGTACACAAACAAAGAATGAAGATCAAAGTCTTTCGTTTGAAATATTCAACCTTCCAGGTCATAAATCCAAGAGCAACGATTCCAGCGATAGCAAATATTGCATTGTTAATAAATATGTTACCCGAAAGGTCAAGAGTTGTGTAGGTCAATCCAAACAGCGTGAAAAACATAGTGAACCAAATAACGTAAAGGCCACAACAATATTTGAGTAAAGTTGGATTTCGATAAAGATTGAAAATTGTTTCTTTTTTCTGAGTCGATTTTAAACTGGACAAGACATTATCTCGAAGTGAAGCAAACTTCAATTGGAATGTATCTTCGTCCATTTTACCTTGACCAACGGAGTATTTTCTCAATACTTTCTCAGCTTTATTCTCTTGACCATTGACCAATTGCCATCGAATTGATTCCGTTACTTTGGGCATAACAATCGTTAAGCAAAAGATTTGAAAGATCGCTGATCCTAAGTAAATGTGTCTGAAGTTGGAGACAAAATAAGTGACCAGTATCATGACATATTCACCACCAAACCAAATCCAATCAAAACTGACCACCACTTTACCTCTTACTTTAGGTCCAACACTTTCGACAACTAGTGTATTGAGATACAAATGTGAATTTTAATTGCACTTTGATAATCAATTTCAAATGATCTTTCTACTTACGAAGAACTAATGATGAGAGATATCGTCCATATCCTCCAATTCCATGAATTATTCGGACAATTGTGAACATTTCAATGGACGACGAAAGGTACAATAAAATACTACAAATGATTTCGCACATAAGACAACCAATCATTGCGTTTTTCCTACCAAATTTATCCGAAAGTGACCCAACCAAAGGTCCAGAAACAAGATAACCCATTTGATAAGCCGATAAAGCCAACGATCTTTGCCAATAATTTTCACAAACGATATTCCACTAATCCAATTTGAAATTTAATCACAACAATTAGAAATTTACACAAATTTCTCAAGTTAAAAAACTTCGAAGACTCACTTCTTTGGTTACTGTTCCTCTGGTTGTATTGTGACCCCAAGCACTACATTGACCAAGCTCTTTGAAACTACAATGATCTGCTTTAATTGTTACCTAATTGTTATCATTTGGAATGGTAAACATTCAAAGTATCCAAAGTTTAAATCAAGACAAAATGTTAGAAAAACTTTTAACCAAACTTGGGTTTTAGACTCGAAGTTGTTATTGATCGTTGAAATTACTCACCTTTACCCCTGAAGGCTTAACACACCAAAGGTCACTTTTAATCACATAGTAAAGGAGACTTTGATTGTTGAACGGAGCTGCCCAGTATACGATGACCAACAGAAACATCAATCGCCGTTGCAACGGTCCCCAACCTCCGATGATTCCAGAAACATGTTGAACGTTTTCACCTAAATCATCATGATTCGGATTAGTTGATTGTTTTAGAGATTTAGTTTCCTGTTGTCTACTCATCTTACGATCAAATAATAATAACAATTAGTCATAGAAATTAACAAATCGTTGATTCAAAATATAATCCAGAACAGTTAAAATTGAGTTGCAAGTTTGATGTTATGGCGACTATGGTAAACTCAATTGTATCACATTAAGATGATGGTAAATAGGAGGAAATTATTGTTACAATTGTTAAAAAAAATGAATCGTTGATTATGTGTCTCTCTCACAATTGAATTAATATATTTTGGTTTCAGGCTTTTCCTGACTTATTCATCATATTCCTCATCATTATCATCCTTATCATCATGAAGATAAATAAATATAAAAAAGAAACAAGTTAACCTTCAAAATGATTCCTTCTGATGGTTTCCTTTTGATATCAGTTGGTTAGACTTGTTATATACTCTTGTGCTTTCGTACTCCGAATCTAATTGTCTCAAATCATTAGCACTACAGTTATTAACCACCATTAACAGTTAATTGTATTAGAATCTATGTATCACATGTAAGTCAGTTCATCAACCAAAAACCAAGAAATTAAATGTTTATGAGCGTTGCCTATGAGGAGAAAGACAAAACAAGAGTAGACGGTTTAGAATTTAGATCTGAAATTGATTCTAAGTGTTAAACTAATATACTTACAATTTAGATTAATTTGAAATGTTAATTGAAGATAATTCAGTGAGGAAGAGAGAGAGAGAAATCTTTTCTTGATTGTTCACACCATTGATATAATGTCTCCTTGTTGATGAGAGTCATTCCTCTGGATCCATTGGATTTGTATTGAAGTAGATTTTCACAGAATCTTAATTCTTATTCACTTTCAGCACAATTAATTGAATGTATTTTTTTAATGATATAATCAACGTTCTTCAACCTTCAACTTGATTCATTTCCGTTGTTATCCATTGATGTTTCAAACAATTTAACTTTGGGTGTGAGTATCAAGTGTTGATAGACTAAAATAAACGATTACTTGATCTCTTCCAATGAAGATCATTTAATTTAATTCATCTTAATTGGTCGTAATCATCTTCAAACAATTTCCTTTCACCATTTAAACATGTGTTGAAATAGAATTGTAACTAATTAATTGTAAATAGAATAGAAATAAATTAGAAACAATTAGACTTAAAGTCATTAATTGGTCACAAAGAAAATTAGAAAATAGAAAATGAAAAAAAGCGCCAATCAGCTGATAGAAAAAAGAAAAATTAATTTTTTTTTCTCTTTTTAATTAACCAAAGTTATCATCTAATTATTGTGACGATTAAATTTTCGTATTTATTTTATTTTAATTTCTCTTTTATTTAATTTTGTCCATTCTTTTAATTGTGGCCCTTTAATTGTTTCTTCATTGATTATTGTAGATTTAATTGTTTTGTCATTGAATTTTCTATTCCCGGTTACTAAAGTTACTTTTTTTTATAAACCAGTTTTAGATTTTTTTTTACAATTATCAGCGTTTTAATTTCTTTATTTAAATTTTAATGGTCTCCTGATCCTCTGGTAATCACTCTTTAATCAGCCTTAATTTCAATTCTGAATGATTTGTTGATCATTTCCATCTACACCCAATTATTTGCCTTGTTTGTTTTTACCCATTGGTGATTTGTACTCTTATCATTTTATCCTATCTTTTTGATGTTAATTTTGTTGTTTATTTTTAATTTCTTTTAATTGATGTCTCTTTTTTTTTAATTCTTCTTTCAGGAATTTGTTATACACTCGAAGATAAGTTGGGAAAAGGCCTTGGAAAAAGGGACGATAAAGCAGAAAATGAGACTGGTCTTGATCTTGGAGAACGATGTCAATCATCCTCATCATGTGTTAAATTATCAGAGGCAAATGTTGATTCTCTCGGTTTTGAACAATTGAACATTTCCTTTGATATAACCAGCCTTTCGTATGCTTACAGTTTGCGTGATAGTTCAAGTCATGTCATTTTCTTGGACACACAAGCGATTTATCCTCTTTCAGCTGATCTATTGTGCAAATATATTTACTATCGAAGTAGTCAGACTCAAAATGATGAAGATGAAGGTGAATCAATGGTCAACGATGATTCTATTAGTTTATGTTCATCAAAAATCCCTTCTAATGATAATTTAAACTCTTCTACTGAAGATAAAATTGAAATCCATCGATTTCCTCAAGTTTTTGATGATTTAAATGAATTGAATTCATCTAATCCAATTGTTAGTTTACCTGTTAGCAAATATCAATCTATCAATCCAAGTCAATCACTTTTAAGAAGTTTATTAATTCCTGGTTCAAGGTTTAATCATGTTGAAATTGGTCAACGATATTGTTTAATTTATTTGAATTGCGACAAATCAATTCTCGGACGGAGTGAACCTTTTCAATTTGATTCCAAGATGACCAACAATCTAATCAACAGTTTGGACAATCGAGATGACCCCGATTCTGATGAAGATGGTTTTGTTATCGTTGAATCTTGACCATAATCTTACAATTAACTTGATAATCAAGAAATCAAGATGTTACTGCAAAATAATTTATGATCAAAATGATTACCCAAGTGAAGCTTATCATGTTTTCCATTTCAATCCAAGACAATTAAATAATTTACCTAATAACAATTAACCAAATATCTAAATTATTGTAAAAATCTTTCCCTTGGTAATAATTTAATTTCAAAATATTATAGATATTTATTGTGGGCGAATGTAATAAAACCCCTTAATTGTAAATTGTTAATTCAATATGAAGAATTTTTTCCTCTCATTAAATTAAAGTGTTTTTTTGTTTCAAACATAATTAGCTCAAAATTAATCATTTTTCTATTGTCTTTATTTGGATAATTGTTCAATTGAACAATTCTAAGGTCGGAAAGGGTGTTGTTCCAATAGAATCACCATGATGATGATGATAACCTTGAGAAGAACAAGTTACAATTGAATTAAAACCACACGAATTGAAACCATAGATTTCTAATCACAATTAAAATATTCTCACAACCCAAATAGTGATTAAAACACCTAATCAGCACTAATTGAAAGTCTATTGATCTTTGGGGATTTGGAAATAAAAAAAACTGAAAATGAAAGCAAAAAATGACCAAGTAAGAGATGGAGAGAAAAAAAATTACTACAATTATGATGAAAGCAAATGTCAATTGTCAATGTCAATCAATTCATTTGATTAAACTGCTCAAATTACAATGAAGAAAAAGAAAAAAATGAAAATTTTTGTTACCAATTGCTAATTAACAACCGATAAGAACATAGCTACTTAGGTTGATTAGAGAAATCAAGATGATCAACAGGATTGATTGGCTGTTTATTAGCCAATGGTAATTAGTTAATGGTTAACTGGGTGATAATAGTTGATTATGAACGAAAAAAAAACCAAACAATTAAGAGATGACAAATTTCAGAGCAATTGTACTTAAACAGATGATTATGAGAAAACCACAATTGATGATTTCTTTTCGCACTTAATAGTAACTGTAGGTGGTCATTGTCCATCATAAGCTTTCTAGAACATTCAAAGTGTGTATCAAGTTAAAAGAAAAAGTATTTAAAAAGAATCAATAATTAATTGGAATTAATTGAAACAACTAAAGGATAAAAAGTAAACAATTAAACCGAGAAAAGGGGAAGGTTTTTAATTGCATTCCATTTGAAAAAAGAATAATTCTTATTGTAAGTTTATCAATGATCCCTTTTCTCTCATTTTTTCGCCGGTTTTTCAATTTAATTTATTCTTCTTTCTTATTTATTGTTTTTCTCATCAATTAATTAGTTACCTAATTATTTTTACTGTTGCCAATTGCTGCCTTTGTTTTATTGATCCACAATGGAAATGACCGAGGAAGACATCAATCTCTCAAACGAATCCTTCGAGATTTAAATGCCATCTTTGACCGAGAAAGAGCTTTGTAAGTAGAAACAATGTTTTCTTTTTTTAATTATTCTTTTCTCTCTCTTTCTCTGTGATTATCATTTGTTTCCTGTGTCTTTTTATATCCTTTCCCTTTTCTTTCCCTTTCTCTCTTTTTTCTGTGTTATATTGGAATTGTTATTCTTTAAATGGAATGTGTTAAATGTTGATCATTTTCGTCTACGATCTTCTCTTCTTTGGTGGCTCTTTCGTTGTTCTTTTTCTCTCTTCGTTCGCCTTAATGTGTGTTTTTCTATAGGCTTGAGTTTGAAATTGTTCCGATGGAGGAAAAAGTTCTCAATAAATCTCCTGTTTGTTTTGAAGATCAAAGGATTGGATTGGAAAGTTGGGCTACTCAATATTTATATGCTTACAGTTATACCGAATTCATGAAATGCCGAGCCGCTGTAAGAACTGGAGGTTAGTTGTTACTCTTCATCCTCATAATTTACCATCAATTAGAAGTTTATGTTAACATAAGAGTGAAGAAATAATTTTAATTCTTTCATCATTCTGACCCATTTTTCTCCCCTTGAGCTTTAATTTTGTCTAAATGATTACTCAGATTTGCTCAGTCACTTTTCCAATTGTTTCTCTCTCAAATCTTATTTTCTTACTTTTTTCTTCGGTGTTTATCTCATTTCCCTGATTTTTGTTTCTATGTTTACAAATTGACAGATAAACAGACAATCAAAGAATTAACTCGTGCAATTTTGTTGATCAATCCTGATATTAAAACTTGTTGGAATTGCAGGTTGGTGTTTTTTTCTCCATCTTTAGTAAACTATCATGAAAAAGTTTCTTATTAAGTAATTTTTCATCTTTTTTTGCTATTCAGAAAGCAACTTGTCCTCGACAGATATGTAGATGTTATGGACGAATTGAAACTCTCGTCACTTATTGCCAAAAAACGCCAAAAATGTCTAGAAAATTTCGCCCATAGGTAATAATATGTCTTCCAATTTTTTGCTCTTCTAACTTTTTCTCTTCTTTTCAATTACTCCAGGCAATGGTTAATTAATTTTTATATATCCATCAATGGTCAGCCTGATGAAAATTTTGTCAACGCAGAGTTGGATCTATGCTATGAAGCTGCTAGACGATATGCAAGTAATTACTATGCATGGGATCATCGAAGATGGATTGTGACTACTTTTTCGAACAATTTAACAGTAAGTAAACAAGATTAAATTGAATCCATTTTCCTGATTCTTATTTCACTTGTTTTTTTGCAGACTTTTGAAAGTGAATTCAATCAAACCAAACCCTGGATTCAGCGTCATATAGCTGATTACAGTGGATTTTGTTTCAGGCAATTTATTTTGGTAGCAATGGGACAATGTTTCAAATCTCTGAAAAGCATAAGAGCAGCTAATGCCGATTATGAGAAACTATTACTCGATGATATGGAATTTGTAGATGATCTTTTAAATCTTCATTGTAACAGAGAAACTCTTTATCTTCATCGTCGTTTTGTGATAAAACAAATACTTTCTTTCAATCCGGACAAAGAAACAGAGCTACGCACACGGGAAACTCGCTTTGTATTCGAGTATATTAGGTTAGGAAGAGACAAAATTTTAATTCAACGGCATGTTAGATGGGGTCGAGCGCGTCTCACATGGCCATTTTAACATTTTTCTTTTAATTATTCCCATATATACATATCTGCTATTCTGTTATATCTTTTACAATCAATCAAGTTTTTCTTGTTCATTTTCAATTCTCATTTTAATCAATTATCGAAAAATGATCAAATTATCTCTTTTTACCTTTTTAATACCCAAATTAACTCAAACATGTTACCACTCACTAACCTAATTTTCTCATTGAGTTAATTGCTGTAGAAGAACATTATTTATTTATAATTTAGTTCATCTATACACACTCAATTATTGTTTCTATTGCAATAATAGAGTCATCAAATTTTAATCTGTAGAAATCACAATCAAATAAGATTTTCTTATAATTTTGTATACACTTACAATCAACGACAAATTTACTTAATTTTCAATTATTAATAAAATCAAACTTTAATTCAATCTATTTATCCTTAATTGTTAACCATCACCAATCCAAATTAAAACATGATTTAAGATGAAGTAAATCTTTGATTAAATTGTGATACAAGAATAACAATCGGAACAATTAAACAATAAATAAAACAGTTAATTAGTTAACCAGAATCACTATTTTCAATGAGTTGATTAATTATTTACAGATGGAAATGGATGGAGATTAATTGAAGTAACAATTAACTTAATCAATTTTCTTGTTCGTCTCTGATTCTTGTTCTTGCTCCTCTTGATTTACCGTTGATTTAACAATTAACTGTTTATAATTTAATATACAAGAGTTAATTGTAGACTTCCAATCAAACTTTTCAATAGCCAATTTAATGATGATAAGAAGATGCTAATTAAACAAAAAAGAAAAAGAAAATTTTCCAATTACAATCAATGAGACGAGAATTAAATTATCTTTACCTCAATAATTACTCCAGTGATTATGATTTGTGATTGATTAAGCATCGGGAGCAGCCTTTCAAGTTGGCCTGATTTAACGAGAAGGGAACAATTAACAACGATGGAAACATAGATCATTATGTTGATCGCTTTCTGCCAAATCAGTAAATTGCGATTTCCCTGAATACTGAAAGGTCGTTGATAAGTGACACACAATTTAAATGCATCGCTCCTGATTTCAATTAGATTGTTAATCAACGCACAAAACGCTGCCAAAGGGAATGTGACTGAGAAGAGTGTGACATAACCAAATTGAATGAACAGTTCGAGATAATCTTCGAATGTTGATTCGTACGAATATAAACTCGATTCCAGTTCGGCCTGAGTGACCTCCGTCGAGGCCAAAGTCGGTGACAATTTATACGACTGAGTTAAAAAAGGCCAAAGCGATTCCTTGATGTTTCCAATAACTTGTCTTGTTATTAAAAGTGCAATCATTTGCTGAGAAAATAATAAGTAAACAAATCAACAATTAAACGAAACAATTAAATTTAATTTGGCTTTGATTAGTTGAAATTTCAGAAAGATTAGCCAAAAATTGTATATAATTAACTCGGGAAAACGTTAATGTAATCATAGATCATTCGTTGATTTAAATTGTTGATTGTTGACGATGAGTATTTTATTTCAAGAAAATGAGTGAATTTAATTGTGGTTAATTGTTGTTGATTAATTCTTACCTCTCGTAATTTAGCCATGTCTCCAATATAAAAGGCAATGTAAAATAAGGACAGAAATGAATTAACGAATTGAAACTATTCGAATGAAAAGAGAAAGTTAATTAACAGACGAAATTAATTAAATTGTCAATCGAGTCACAACAATTAATAATGAAAAGAAATCACAATTACCAGGACAAGTTTAATCATCAAATTGCTCTCATAAGTTTCTTGGTATTGATAGTTTTCTGTTGACCAAACAAAAAAAGCAAACAATTAAAATCATTCTAATTGTGGCAGCGATAATTATATTTAATTGTTGATTCTAATTGATTTTACCTTTATTGTTCAACCAGAGAGCTAATTTCTCATAAACAACATCTAGAATATGAATGACCAGTCCAAACAATACCTTGGGAAAATATGATGTCCACTTTGGATAAAATTGTTCACCAATGGCAATATTATCCCACCAAGTCTAATGGAAGGACAATTAATGATTAGTAAATTAGTTGATAGTTTCAGGTAAATTTAGATTACCTGAAAATGAAGCATATAAAACATTGAGAGAAAAACAATTAACAACGACAAGCCCATTACCGGGATTGTGATTAGGTAAAAAAATAATTTTCTTTTCCAATGAGGATAGAAAATCTCAGCGATTCCTTGGGAATCCTTTCGAGTGACCACACCATGGAATTGTGGACGAATATCAATCAATTCTGATTGATTAGATCGAGAGGTTGAAGTTGTCGATGACCATTGATCGGTCAAAGTTGTTCCATACTTTTTCCAGGATTCCAAATAAAGGGAGGACCAAACGGTGAGTATAATTGGAAAAAGGGTTAAACAAAGATCACTTGACCATTGGTCAGAACAGGTAACACTAATTAGAAGACCAAATAGTCCAGGAAGTAAAAGGGAATAGGTGTAATGTCCAAGGAAGGCGAAATACAGGGCGATCTTTACACCGAAATAGGAATAGATTTCTTCGAGTGGTTGAGATGAGGTAAAATCGGAGACCCAAGATTTACGAAGTGAAGATAATTCCTCCTCATTGTGTAATGGCAGTAATTGTTTAATGTAACCTAATTGTAACAATTTAGGTATAATCGCTTCACCGTCAATCAATTTCATCTGATTAACCAAATTATCATCGAACGATGAACTTTCCTTGAACCATCTTAACGTGTTCAGATAATAACGGATTATATTTTGTCGAGTTGCGGCTGAAAGGATCGGGCAACATGAGGCTGGTGTTGTTGGGGTCAAAGGTGAAGATAAACATGATGATGATGCTGATTGTTGAGATTTGTATCGATTAACTGGATTATTATCAAGATAGCCCAAGAAAATCGCGGCCTCCTGAAGCCATTCTGGTTCAGCTGATACATAAAAGGCTTGTTCGTTATTATTGGTGAGAGATTTGCTTTCGAGCACTAATTGTGGTACCAATCGATTGATTAAATTCTGTAAACAGTCCATCATTGGGTATCCTTTGGGTGGGAATATAATGACCACATCATGGTCTAAACTTTGTTCACTTTTCCTCTTCCATATGAGGTGTTTTCCACCCTCTTCCAATTGGTGTCTTTGTTTCTCAATCAATCGAACCAGAGCTTCTTTTTGTTTTCTAAATTGTTCCTTAATTCGTTGTCTATTTATGGCATTTGTTGTATTATTTAATTCGATTGGTGGCTCTCTATCAGTTAATTGTGATTCTTTTGGACAGAATGGAACAGAATCATGGATGGAAATAGAATCTCCTAGTAGAGTCATCGATTCCTCTTCTGAAGACATTATTGTTCAAGAGATAATTTCAATCGATAATAGTAATGAGCAAATTCAGGAATAAACAACAGTTAAAGTTGAAGAAATTGTAGAATTAAAATTAATTGTAATAGAAAAAGCGAAACGATGTAATCACAATTCGTTGAGAGTATTGATTGTTTTCCATTCTCGAACCTGTTAACATGTTCCAATATTTGATCATCAGTTTCAATTGTATTCCAACAATTTAAACCAATGTTCACATTAACAAGAAAATCAGTAACAATTAAAATTAGAAAAATACACTCATAGATGAAAGAAAGGTGAACAATTAAGGAGAAATCAAATGAATTCGTAATACACTTTAATCGAGGTCTTAGAAGGTGAGAAGCGAATGTAAACAAACCGAATATTAATGTATTTCTATGGGGAAAAATCGAAATCGAAAGAACAAAAATTCACAGAGAAAAAAAATCGAAGCTCGAACATAGAAAAGGAATTAATTTGATTGTCTGCGCAACAGTCGAATCACAATTAAACCGAATCATTTTCTTGATTGTTTGCCAGTTTGGAATGAGAATTTAATTATTATCACAATTTGTGGAAAATAAAACGATGATTAAGATTTACAATTAATTGGAAAAAGAAAATAATTCAATTGTTTAAGTTGGTAATTCGAGGACACAGATTATTACAATTAACTAGAATTTATTTGTTGTATAAAAGTTTTTTAAATTGTTACAATTTGATTTCATGTTGATTTAGAAATTTTGCTTTTTTGAACTTGATTGTTGTGTTAATTGTTTCCTAAAACACAATCACAGTTAATTTTGTAAAGATGATTAAGTTGAACCTTGTAAATTGATTGAATGTGTTTACACTTTGTGGTAAATTAAATTGTTTTGTATTGTTTACAATTCTATTTCAATGACTAATTGATTCCTTTCACTTAATTTAGTGGTAGACTAGAAGATTATTTAAAAAAAAAGAGATGACGATTAAAATGAATTGACTGATAATCTAAATTAATCATCTCTCTGAAATAAAATGTTAAAATTACAATTTGATTAATTGTCATTCCATTGACTTATTTTGGTTTTGCTGATTGTAAACAATCAACTAAATTACCAAACTCCGATTAAAGATGAGACCTTGATTGTATTGCAGCTGTTAAATCAATCATTTGGTTAATTGTGGCAATTAAATCTGATTGTTTTAACCACAATTTAGAGCATAATTGTTGTAATTGGTAAACATCAGATTCCATTTGGGATGAGGGAAGATGAGAAAATAATCCAACCTTAATTTGACTAGAAGTTGTTGTTGATGTAATTTCATTGATGAAAAATAGATTTCGACAGAATCGTTTTAAATTGTTATCAGAATCATCGTTAATTTCACAAATATCACCCGAGCCAATTGGTGAGGGTTTACAACGACCCTTGCAATCAATAAAATCACAATCTTCATCCTTGATACATGAATCAATGTGTTGAATTGATTCTCGAACGATTTCCCTTGGATATAACATGTCCGAATCAATTAGGACAATTGACCCGTTATCGGTTATCCCAAATTGATCATATTTAACATCACAAAGGTGTAAATTGTACCCGCTCATCTCAAGATCCCTCAACCAGGTCAATAACATGGTCGCAATGTGAACCCGCCGATGGAAAGAGGCAACAAATGGCCGAGTATTAAGTTTATCTGGCATAATGTCGGTCAATTGAAGGATCCTTGGGATATATTCAACGGCATAAAAGTGACCACAAGTGGCCTTAAGTTGAGGTAATAGTTTAATTGGATTCCATTGGGTTAAAGAGCCGAAAAAAGTTGAATAAATGAATTCATTGTCTTGGGCGAGAATCCATAGATTGTGAAGCTCTTTGTTGGTTAGAGAGGACAATTTGGAGGGCGATCCTGTCCAGGGAATGGTCAAATATGATGAGTCAATATTTTCCGAACCATCGAAAGCAGTGGACACAATTGAAGCTAATCCTTGGATTATCTCGTCTCGAGTTAATTTCAGATCAACATCCATCATGTTGGTTGATTTCAATTTCTTAGCTTTCACAATAATCTCAGAGTTTTTCCACTCTCCATAAAATATACACTCTTTACCACCATGGAAGGACCTGGTTGATGGACATGACTGTATCACCGAAGATGACCCTTGACACCAATCGGAGCAAAGGTTACCAATGATTTTATCCTTTTCCCAGGCCACACAAACCTCTTGACGGGCAAGCATTTTACCAGAAAGACAATCTATCCAATGGTAGAAATTAGTAAATTGATTGACCACCAAAAGAATTGAATCGAGAATCAAGAAACCAGTTAAGATGATGATCAAAAATGTACCAAGAAATATAAGCCATTTCCTCCGTGACAATCGACCCAAACGAAGCAAAATTAATCGCAATACAGTTAAATTGAACATAATTTCCTAATTGTTGTTGATGTTTAATCCCTCTAATCAAATGGTTACAAAATTTTACCTCCTTCCTGATTCATCACTCAATTTAGATTATTTTCCAGAGATTTGATCCTTCAGAATTATCCACATTTTCCAACCATTGATGATTAATAAATTGTCGTAATGAACCATTGGGTAATCCTGAAAATTAATTAATGTAGTTAAGATGAAAATAATTAGCACAGAAAATCAAATGAAAACATAATCGGTCAAGAGACAATCTTACTGATCATCAATACTCACCAACGAAACTTTCCCAAGGTTTGATTAAAATGGTAAAGATTAATAATAGTAAATAGATGATGGACATACAATTAGTCATTGTAATCAATAGTTAATTGTAAAAATTAAATCCATTAATATCAATCAAGGTTGAATCCATTTCTCCTTGAAAAGGTAACGTTATTTTCAATGGAGCTTCAAAAGCACAAAATAAACATGAAACTTTGAATTAAATTACAAGTTAAAAGTAAATTCTCTGATTTAACCAGATAGACAATTAGAATTACTAATTAATAGAGAATTAAATTTATAATAATTGATTAAAAGGAGACAATTAATTGGAACTTCAAGTGATATACTTTACTCATTTTTCTCAAGATCTGATATAAGAACAGCTGATCGATCTGAGTAGAAACTGTTATCTAATGATGGAGAAAGTGAATCGGAATTTTTTTGTTTCTATTCAATTATTAATCTTTATTGTTTTATTGGTCGTAAATTTAATTATCGACAATCGATTTCATTGAAATTGAATCATTATTGCTCCATTTTGGTGGAACGGGAAGAAATTCATATTGAGAATATGGTAAAAGGATCTAAAAGTGTAGGGAGAGTGAAAGAAACAAATTGTTTCAAACAATTACAAGTAATAAATATAATTGTTATCATAATTTGCTTATTCTAGCTTATTATGATTTGAAGTAGTTGATTTTTGTTTAATTAAAAAAAATGTTGTTCATCAGAAATATCGGTATTGATGATATATTGTAACAGAGGCACAGCCATGATGATGGTTGATGATCCATTAAATTGTAGCATTAGAATTGAAAGGAGAAAATGATAAACCAAGAATAACATAGAAGAAAAATGAATTAATCATGTAGTTAATTGTTGCAATCAAATCTGGTTTACAAAGCTCCACATGATACCAATAATTGTTCAAGTTCACCTTTATTATCCAAAGCAACGGTATCATCACAACCTCCAATAAATTTACCATCGATGAAAACTCTTGGAACCTAAAACAATTGGGAAGCAGAAAACAAAAATCACCAGCTGATTAACAATCAAATAATCATAACAATCAAAGTTCAATATTCTCACAGGGTTTGAGTAAATGTGAGATTCAAGTTGATGATTAATTTTTTTCCATTAGACAAAAATGAAAGCTTACCGTTGATCCTCCAGTAATTTCCTTTAGATAGGCTTGAATACTTGAACAATCAGGTCGCTTTTCAATCTCGATGATCTCCAATTGATCGGGTTTAATTGGGTACTTGGTTAGAACTGCTTTCGCCCGTTTACAAAAAGGACAATAGGTTTTGGAAAACACCACAACTTTTGATTTAGCGATGGTTGTATCAACCAGAATTTTAATTCCTTCGTCCATGACTGTTGGTGTTCCTGGTCGAGCAAGAAATGATCCCATCTACGTATCAAAGGAAGGTATTTATTACAATTTCAACAGTTTCTCTGTAATTAAATGAGTGAACAATCAGATAAAATTAGTGAGCAATTAATTAGTGGAGATAAACATTAATCAATTTGATAAACAAAAGAGGGATTATTGAATCAACAAATTGAATGTGTTGTTACCTAGTAACTGGAATTATAATTCATTCATTCATTCACCCGGTTACTTTAAAATTCAATTGTGATTTTAAATTAATTGATTACAATTGATTGGAACAATTTAATAGACTCGATTTCTTTTCATTAGAACTTCATGAAAAGTTCGGTCATTCATTTTCTCAATTTCTTCTAATAAGAATAATCTTGTAATAAGACAATTTGATTAATGTTATCGAATTCTTATTAATCATAGTTATCAAGGATTAAAAGGTTAATTAGAAATTATTTCGAAAATGATGTTTAACATAATAGATTAACATTTAAAGATCAATTGTTATTAACGGATAAGAGGATCATGTGAAAATTTAGATAATTTGAAAAGTGATAACAATTATAACTCTTGTTAATGTTATTAATTGTGATCGTAAATATTTAGTTACTGTTTAATTATTTTTCATCATTTTGGAAACAAATTAATGTCAATTTCTCTCTTTCTTTCTCTGTACTTTCCTAATTCAAAGGCAAAATATTTAACCTACCTTCAATTGAAAGATATTTTCATGTCATAGTCATCGATAACTATCTTTGCTTGATTACATATTCACAATTAACGAAAAGCTCAAAAATCCATTTCCACCTTTAAGAAAATAAAGTTAATTTTTTGGATGATCAGCGACAATTTCAACTAATCTCTTAATGATTTGGTCAAATCCTTCGTCAGCATAAATTGAATCTCGTCCTGAGTATAACCATAGTACTTTTCGAGAAGCTTTAAAAACTGTTTATAAGTTCCAATAGCCATTGGAAAGTGACCTGGACACTATAATAGTGACTCGGACTACCAGATAATCCACTACCAATTTCTGCCTCAATTGAATAGTCAATCTCAGGTCTGACACAAATGAAAATGGTTACATTTTTTCATAAATATACTTCTGAAAATCAGAGTAAATTAGTTAATTTTCAACAATAATGTGATTACAATTAACTTACCTGTTCAGCATTTTCTCACATCCACCTAGACCTTCAATGTTAATAAAATCAAGATCACCGACACAATAAAGACAAAGGATGAACCATTTTGGATTAGGTAATTAAGATTTTGATACCTTCAGAACAAGTTAAACTTTCATTAAAAATACTGAAAATGACTCTTATCAATAACGATAAAGATTCATCACATTGAATAATTACATGAAACAATCTCAAAAAGATCTGAGGACAAAGAAGATAAAAAAACAATTAACTAATTAAAGTTGAGAGACAAAGAGAAAAGAAAAATAATTTTTTCATTTTCTATTCTATTCGCGCCTTTGGAAGAGAAAGCAGCTCCATCTGTTGGCGAATAGAACATAGGGTTGGAATATTCTCTCACTCTTGTTGTTTTCTATTCTCATTTCATTTCATATGGATGAACTTTTCTTTTGTAATCATCATCATCCAACATCATCTTTCTAATTAATTATAGTTTAATAAAAATCATGTTATGTATTGTGTCACATTATGAATGACAGTTTGGATCCAATTTCCACCATTGGTGGTGGTGGTGGTGGTTCCGGAGGTGATTCACTTCCCTCCGCTTCTGATCCAACCACCGTTCAATTGCCAACAATTGAAGTCTCAACCCTAGTCACCTACATAAAGGAAGTCGTTGCTCCTGCTTTAGAAGGGCGAGCATACGTTCATCCATCTTTAGTAAATCTACTTGATCGTTCAAGTTCACAGGAAAAATTGAAAAAATTTATCACCGATACTCAAGTAAAATCCATCTTAATTCAAAGATTCTCCAGTAAAGGTAAAAGATGACTAATATATTCTTCTCTTTTTTTCTTTCTCTCTTTTTCTCTTTCTCTCTGATTCTCATAGAGGGTATTAAAAGAGCTGACATTCTCAAGCAACTGTTGTTTGTTTTCTCTAATTTAATGATTTATTTTTCACTTGTATTTGTTTTCTTTTATCTACAGAGGATGAAGAAGTATCTGAACATAGCTCAGAATCTAGTGACAATGTCGCTTTTTCCATTACCGAGGAGGCCAGTTACTCTAACCCCCGGGTAACTGGACATTTGTTAATCAAAAAATCTCCAGTCTTAGAGGCTGACAAAAATATTGCCAGTCAATTGTTGTACATGTATTTGGATAATACAAATGTCTATGAGACTCTTCATTATTATGTTAGCTCTGGTATTGGGCCAGTTTTTAAGTCATATGTTAGGGAAACTAAAAGGGCAGAAAGGTAAGGTCTTCACATTATTGAAACAAAGAATTACAATCTACCCCTTTCAAGGGCTTACCTTATGTGAATATAATCACTGATTTATTTTGATTAATCATCTACTTTCTTTGGGCGTTTATTTTGTATTTAAATTTTATAGAGACGGTGATAAAATGGTCCCTTCCACCGAGAAGCGAATTGCTGAGTTGGAGATGAATTTATTACATTTACAACAAAACATTGATATTCCGGAGATTAATTTACAAGTTCACCCAACTGTAATAGCAGTGATGAAAAAATGTGCCGAAGAGGGTTGTAAAGCAACGGTAAATGATTTTGCCGATAAAATAGATGATTCAGTTTTCCTAAATCAATTACAGAATCAGGTGAACCGGTGGATCAGAGAGATTCAAAAAGTGACCAAATTAGATCGAGATGCGTCCACAGGTACTGCTCTTCAAGAGATTAGTTTCTGGCTTAATCTGGAGAGAGCTTTACTTAGAATTCAGGAGAAAAGGGAAACTCCTGAGGTTGCCCTTACCTTGGACATCCTTAAAAAGGGTAAACGTTTCCATGCCACCGTTAGTTTTGATGCTGACACCCGATTGAAAGAAGCTCTGGCCATAGTCAATGATTATAATCCATTGATGAAAGATTTTCCTCTCAACGATCTACTCTCAGCCACCGATTTAGACAAGATAAGATCAGCCCTTCAAATTATCTTTCATCATATGAAAAAAATTCGTAATACCAAATATCCAATCAAACGAGCTTTAAAATTAGTGGAAGCCATTTCAAGAGATTTAATGACGCAGTTGTTGAAGGTACTGGGAACAAGACGAATGATGAACATTTCTTTTGAAGAATTTGAAAAACTAGTGAGTGCTTGTTCTGAAGTATTTGGAACTTGGGATGATGAATATGATAAACTTCAAGGTTTATTAAGAGATATAATCAAACGCAAACGAGACGAAAATTTAAAAATGGCTTGGAGAATTAATTTGGCTCATAAAAAGCTTCAAACACGAGTTGATCAAATGAAGAGATTCAAACGTCAACATGAGCAACTTCGTGCTGTTATTGTTAGAGTATTGAGACCGGTATCATCTTCTCATCGAGCTGCAATCACCAGTACCGAAGTCGATAAAGAGGTTGACATGGAAGAAAATTTTTCGGCTGAAGAAAATGCCGATCTCAATGCAATTGGTGAGGTTAATCTTGCCTATGAATTGGTTAAAGAGGTTGATCCATTGGATATAAGTAAAGAAGGAAGTGACTCATGGGAAGCAGCCTTGAAACGTTACGAAGAGAGAATAGATCGAGTTGAAGCTCGAATAACAGCAAAACTTCGTGATCAATTGGGAACAGCTAAAAATGCTAATGAAATGTTTCGCATTTTCTCTCGATTTAATGCTCTTTTTGTTCGACCTCACATTCGAGGAGCCATTCGAGAGTATCAAACACAACTGATACAACGAGTTAAAGATGACATTGAAGCGTTACATGAGAAGTTTAAAATTCAATTTCTCCAAAGTAAGGCTTGTAAAATGTCCAAGGTTCGTGATATCCCACCAATCGCTGGAAGTATTTTATGGGCAAAGCAAATTGAAAGACAATTATCTGTCTACATGAAACGAGTTGAAGACGTTCTTGGAAAGGGTTGGGAAAATCATGTAGAAGGTCAAAAGTTGAAAGCTGATGCAGATTCTTTCAGAGTTAAATTAAACACTACACCAATATTTGAAGAATGGGCTCGAACTGTGCAACAAAGGCAACTTAATGTATCTGGTCGTATATTCAACATTGAATCAGTGAGATCTCGATCAGGTAAAAATAATGCACTCAAGTTACGTGTCAACTTTATGCCGGAAATAATTACCCTCGCCAAAGAGGTACGAAATTTGAAAAGTTTGGGTTTCCGTGTTCCTCTGGCAGTTGTTAACAAGGCTCACCAAGTGAATCAACTTTATCCTTTTGCAATATCTCTCATTCAAACAGTTAAATCTTATGAAAGAGCCTGTGAAAAGGTTGATGAGAAACCCACCGTCATCTTATTAGTAGTTGGGATGAAAAAAGATGTACAAACAATCCTATGTGAAGGTGTTTCTCTTGTCTGGGAATCTTATAAATTAGATCCATATGTTAAACGGCTCGCCGAATTTGTTCAAAATTTCCAAGAAAAAGTGGACGAACTTTTGATCACCAATGAACACATCGAAATTGAGGTAAAAAGCCTTGAAACTTGTGCCTACTCATCAACAATCTTTGCAGAGATTTTAAATCGTATTCAAAAATCAGTTGATGACTTAAGCCTTCACCGTTACTCTAATCTTAATCAATGGGTCAACAAATTAGACGAAGAAGTTGAAAAACGCCTTGCAGCTCGTTTACATGCCGGAATTAAAGCTTGGACTGCTGCTTTGGTTGGTCAAGAGAAAGATGATATGGATGTTATACCCGATACCGAAATTGTTGCCACTCCTGTTTGTAAAGCGGGTGGTGACCCGAAAATTCAAGCTCTTTACCATGAATTCCGGATAACAAATCAAGTCATGTACATCAGCCCATCCATTGAAGAGGCACGTTTCAATTTACTCCAACAACTGTTTGCTTGGGAAAACGTTGCTCTCCTACTTAATCGTATTGAATCAACACGTTACCAAGTTGGTTTGGATCGATCCTCTGTACCACAGTATCGAATGTTGTTGAAAAAAATGACCGATGGTCATACAGCAATTGAACAAGCTTATGAAGCGATTGAGGATAAAATTGAAAAAATGAAAGTTTATGTTGATCAATGGTTAAGATATCAATCATTATGGGATCTTCAACCTGATATGCTTTATGCTCAATTGGGAGATGACATCTCAAAATGGATGAATACTCTTACCGAAATTAAAAAATCCCGATCCATTTTTGATACCACCGAAACTCGTAAAGAAATTGGACCAATCATCATTGATTATGCTAAAGTTCAATCTAAAGTTACTCTTAAATACGATTCATGGCATAAAGAGGTTCTTTCTAAATTTGGTTCACTTCTTGGTAATGAGATGGTTAAAATGCACACTCTCATTTCTAAATCTCGTTCTGAACTCGAACAACAATCAATCGATACAGCAAATACAAAGGAAGCAGTTACATTTATTACCTATGTTCAATCATTAAAAAGTAAAATGCGTCAATGGGAGAAACAAGTTGAAATTTACAAGGAAGGACAACGAGTCCTTGAACGACAAAGATTCCAATTCCCGACCAACTGGTTACACGTTGATAATATTGAAGGTGAATGGTCAGCTTTCAATGAAATAATGAGACGTAAAGATGCCGCTATTCAAGCACAAGTCGCAAGTTTACAAGTTAAAATTGTGGCTGAAGACAAATTTGTCGAGACTCGAACTACAGATCTTCTTGTTGAATGGGAAAAAGGTAAACCGGTTGAAGGTTCATTACCACCCAATGATGCTACAGCTCGACTTCAGATGTTTGAAACTAAATTTACTCGCCTTCGTGAGGATCGGACAACGTTATGAAAGCAAAAGAAGCGTTAGAGTTACTTGAACCTGGTGCAGCTCCTGTTCTTGCCTCTGATGAGAAATTAGATGTTGCCCTGGAAGAGTTACAAGACTTGAAAGCAGTTTGGTCTGAATTGTCCAAAATTTGGTCTCAAATTGAAACTCTTAAAGAGTTACCTTGGCTTTCAGTTCAACCTCGAAAAGTCCGTCAAAGTTTGGACAATCTGATGAATCAATTGAAGGAAATGCCAGCTCGTTTCCGTCAATATGCATCTTATGAATATGTTAAAAGATTAATCCAATCTCACCTTAAAATTAACATGATCATCATTGAACTTAAATCAGATGCACTAAAAGAACGTCACTGGAAACAATTAACTAAACAATTACGGGTCCGTTGGGTGATTAATGATTTAACCTTGGGACAAGTTTGGGATGTCGATTTACAACTAAATGAATCAATTGTACGTGATGTTATTCTAATTGCTCAAGGAGAAATGGCCTTAGAAGAATTCTTGAAACAAGTTCGTGAAGCTTGGCAAAACTATGAGCTTGACTTGATTAGCTATCAAAACAAGTGTCGCCTCATCCGTGGTTGGGATGATTTATTTAACAAAGTAAAAGAGCACATCAACTCAATTACTGCAATGAAATTGTCACCCTATTACAAAGAGTTTGAGGAAGATGCTCTCGCCTGGGAAGAGAAACTTAATCGAATCAACGCTCTTTTTGATGTTTGGATTGATGTTCAACGCCGATGGGTTTACCTTGAGGGTATTTTCTCAGGTTCTTCTGATATTCAAGCTTTACTTCCTGTGGAAACTCAACGTTTCCATTCAATCAGTACCGAATTTTTAACACTCATGAAAAAGGTCAGCAAAAGTCCATTGGTAATGGATGTTCTCAACATTCCGGGTGTTCAAAAATCTCTCGAAAGATTAGCTGATCTTTTGGCTAAAATTCAAAAAGCACTTGGTGAATATTTGGAAAGAGAAAGATCATCTTTCCCTCGTTTCTATTTCGTCGGAGATGAAGATCTTTTAGAAATCATTGGTAACTCTAAAAATATTCCTCGACTTCAGAAACACTTTCGCAAAATGTTCGCTGGTGTTTCCTCAATCATTTTGGACGAAGATTCAACTTACGTTCTTGGTTTAAGTTCTAAAGAGGGTGAAGAGGTTCGGTTCGCAACACCAGTCTCAATTAAAGATCATCCTAAAATAAATGAATGGTTGGCACTTGTTGAGCAAGAAATGAGAATAACTTTGGGTAAATTGTTAGCTCAAGCTGTCTCTGATTCTGCTTCATTCAAAACTGGTGACATCAATCCAGCTGATTACATGGAATGGCTTGATAAATATCAAGCTCAGATAGTTGTTCTAGCCGCTCAAATTGGTTGGTCCGAATATGTTGAAAGTGTACTTACCACAATGTCAACCGAAGAAACTGGTGATTTAAAACCATTAGAAGAAGTGTTGAAATCGGTTGAGAAGACACTAGTTATTCTTGCTGATTCAGTTCTCCAAGAGCAGCCTGCCCTTCGTCGTAAAAAGTTAGAACATTTGATTACCGAGTTTGTTCACAAACGAGATGTAACTCGATCATTGATCAGGAGAAAAGTAACTTCACCAAAATCTTTCCATTGGCTTAATCAGATGAGATTTTACTTTGACCCTCGACGTCCAAGTGTCCTTAAACAACTTTCTATTGTCATGGCAAATGCTAAATTCAATTATGGCTTTGAATACCTTGGAGTTCAGGATAAATTGGTTCAAACTCCTTTAACTGATCGATGTTATCTTACCATGACACAAGCATTAGAAGCACGACTTGGAGGTTCACCTTTCGGTCCTGCAGGTACCGGTAAAACGGAATCAGTGAAAGCTCTTGGAAATCAGTTGGGTAGATTTGTTCTTGTTTTTAATTGTGATGAAACGTTTGACTTTCAAGCCATGGGTCGGATTTTTGTTGGTCTTTGTCAAGTTGGTGCTTGGGGTTGTTTTGATGAATTCAATCGTTTAGAGGAACGTATGTTATCAGCTGTTTCTCAACAAATTCAGCAAATTCAGGAAACTCTTAAATCTAATCAAAATCAAGATCGAACTGATCTAACTGTTGAACTGCTTGGAAAACAAGTTCGTATTGTCGCTGATATGGCCATTTTTATCACAATGAATCCTGGTTATGCAGGTCGATCCAATTTACCTGATAACTTGAAGAAACTTTTCCGTTCCCTGGCCATGAATAAACCTGATCGACAATTAATTGCTGAAGTGATGTTATTTTCACAAGGTTTCCGAACAGCTGAAAAATTAGCCAACAAAATTGTGCCTTTCTTTAAACTTTGTGATGAACAACTTTCAAATCAATCTCATTATGATTTCGGTCTTCGTGCATTGAAAAATGTCCTTGTTTCAGCGGGTAACATTAAACGAGACCGAATAGCCAAAATTAAGGAAGACATGAAAACTCGTGGTGATGCTGATCTCATCGATGAGGCTCGAATTGCGGAAAAATTGCCTGAACAGGAGATTCTTATTCAATCAGTCTGTGAGACTATGGTTCCAAAACTGGTCGCGGAGGACATTCCCTTGTTATTTTCACTTCTATCTGATGTATTCCCAGGAATACCTTACACTCGAGCTGAAATGGCTCAACTTAAAGAACACATTGCAAAAGTCTGCCAAGAAATGCATCTTATTTGTGGTATCGAAAAGGGTGACTCTAATGGTGAAAATGCTTGGATTGAAAAGGTACTTCAATTGTATCAAATATCTAATCTCAATCATGGTTTGATGATGGTTGGTCCAAGTGGTTCGGGTAAATCAACCGCTTGGCGAGTTTTGTTAAAAGCTCTTGAACGGTATGAAGGAATTGAAGGTGTGGCTCATGTTATCGATCCAAAGGCCATTTCAAAGGAGGCACTTTACGGAAATCTCGATTCTAACACTCGCGAATGGACTGATGGTCTATTCACACACATTCTAAGAAAAATCATAGACAACATTCGTGGTGAGATTAACAAACGCCAATGGATCATATTTGATGGTGATGTTGACCCTGAATGGGTTGAAAATCTCAATTCAGTTCTCGACGACAATAAACTACTCACTTTACCAAATGGTGAACGTCTTAGTCTACCTCCTAATGTACGAATCATGTTCGAAGTTCAAGATCTCAAGTATGCAACTCTTGCCACCGTATCTCGTTGTGGTATGATTTGGTTTAGTGAAGATGTTTTGTCTACTGAAATGATTTGTGAAAACTTTTTCCTTCGACTTGCATCTGTTCCTCTGGAGGAAACGGAAGAAGATTCAACACCCTATGGAAATAAGAAGAAAAGATCAGAAACTGGATCAGATTTATCATCTTCTGATATCTTATCGCCTAACATGCAAGTTCAACGTGATACCATTAACATACTTCGACCTTATTTCACCTCAGATGGACTTGTTATCCGAGCCCTTGAATTTAGTGCGACTCAAGAACACATTATGGACTTTACTAGACTTCGAGCTCTTAATTCCTTGTTCTCTATGCTCAATGAAGTGGTTCGTCGGGTCCTTAACTACAATCACAATCATTCCGATTTTCCTATGCCTTCAGAACAATTGGAAAGTTATATTTCCAAATCACTTGTTTACGCAATTTTGTGGTCATTTTCCGGTGATGCAAAACTCAAGTCTCGTTGTGATCTCGGTGATTTTATCCGAAATGTAACCACAATCCCATTACCACCTAACACAGCTTCATTACCAATAATTGATTATGAGGTGGCATTTAATGGTGAATGGGCACCATGGCAAAATCGTGTTCCTCAAATCGAGGTTGAAACCCATAAAGTTGCCGCTCCTGATGTTGTTGTTCCAACTCTGGATACTGTTCGTCACGAGTCTCTACTCAAAACTTGGCTCGCTGAGCACAATCCTATTGTCCTTTGTGGTCCACCGGGTTCTGGTAAAACAATGACACTTTTCTCAGCCCTTCGTTCCCTCCCTGATATGGAAGTTGTTGGTCTCAATTTTTCCAGTGCTACTTCACCCGAACTATTATTGAAAACATTTGACCATTACTGTGAATATCGTAAAACTCCTAACGGGATTGTTCTTGCTCCCGTTCAACTTGGTAAGTGGTTGATACTTTTCTGTGATGAAATCAATCTTCCCGATATGGATAAATATGGTACTATGAGAGTCATCTCATTCCTCCGTCAAATGGTTGGTCATGGTGGATTTTACCGAACCACCGATCAGGCATGGATTCGTTTGGAAAGAATCCAATTTGTTGGTGCTTGTAATCCGCCCACTGATCCCGGTCGTAAGCCACTTTCTCATCGATTCCTTCGTCATGTTCCTGTGGTTTATGTTGATTATCCTGGAGAAACTTCACTCAAGCAAATTTATGGTACATTCAACAGAGCCATGTTACGTGTCATTCCACCACTTCGAGCCTACGCTGACCCATTGACCGCTGCAATGGTTGAATTTTACCTCATGTCTCAAGAACGATTTACCCAAGATATGCAGCCACATTATGTGTACTCTCCTCGAGAATTGACTAGATGGGTTCGAGGTATTTACGAAGCAATTCGTCCATTAGAAACACTTACAGTCGAAGGACTTGTTCGTCTTTGGGCTCATGAAGCTTTAAGATTATTCCAAGATCGTCTTGTTACCGACGAAGAACGTATCTGGACTGATGAAAATGTCGACATGGTTGCACTTAAACACTTTCCTAACATTGATCGTCGACAAGCTCTCGATCGACCAGTACTTTACTCCAATTGGACATCGAAAGATTACATACCTGTCGACCGAGAAGAGCTTCGTGGTTTCATCAAAGCTCGACTCAAGGTATTCTATGAAGAAGAACTTGATGTTAAACTTGTTCTATTCAACGAAGTGTTGGACCATGTGCTTCGTATTGATCGTATTTTCCGTCAACCACAAGGGCATGTTCTTTTGATTGGTGTTAGTGGTGCAGGTAAAACAACTTTATCCCGTTTCGTAGCCTGGATGAATGGTCTCAGCATTTTCCAGATCAAAGTTCACAATAAATATACCGCTGCTGATTTCGATGAAGACTTACGATGTGTACTTCGTAGATCAGGTTGTAAAGATGAAAAGATTGCCTTTATTCTCGATGAGTCAAACGTCCTCGATTCAAGTTTCCTCGAGCGGATGAATACTCTTCTCGCCAATGGTGAGGTTCCCGGTCTCTTCGAAGGAGACGAATTTACAACCTTAATGACCCAATGTAAAGAAGCCTCACAACGCGAAGGCCTCATGTTGGACTCTAACGAAGAGCTGTATCGTTGGTTCACACAACAAGTTATGCGAAACCTTCATGTAGTTTTCACCATGAATCCATCGTCTGAAGGGCTTAAAGATAAATCGGCAACATCACCCGCTCTTTTCAATCGTTGTGTCATCAACTGGTTTGGTGATTGGTCTGATGAAGCTCTTTACGAAGTGGGTAAAGAGTTTACAGCTAAGCTTGACATCGATCGACCAGCTTATCGTGCTCCAGAATACTTTCCCACCGCTTTCCCAGGAACTCCAATGCCAGCGACTCACCGTGTCGCTATTGTCAACGCTCTCGTTTATTTCCATCAAACTCTCCATTTGGCCAATAAACGCCTTCTCAAACGTGGATCTCGTATCACAACAATTACACCTCGTCACTATTTGGACTTTATCAACCATTATGTCAAACTTTTCCATGAGAAATGTTCAGAACTCGAAGAAGAACAGTTGCATCTCAATGTTGGTCTATCAAAGATTCGAGAGACAGTCGAACAAGTTGAAGAACTACAAAAATCGCTCGCCTTGAAAACAACTGAACTTGAGGCGAAAAACCAAGCTGCAAACACGAAATTGAAAGAAATGTTAAAAGACCAACAAGAAGCTGAAAAACGTAAACTCCAATCTCAAGACATTCAAGCTCAACTCAAAGTAAGTGATATAATCATAAATTAATCAAAACCTCAAACTGATTCGATTAAACAATTTACTCAATAGAAACAAGAAGAAGCTATTCAAGAAAAACGATCAAGCGTCATGGCTGATCTATCGCAAGTCGAACCCGCCGTGGCAGAAGCTCAACAAGGTAAAGATAATTTCCCCAACATTTTATTGATTAATTGTCTCAGTCTTTTCACTAATACACTTTAACCATAAACCAACATCAACTTTGATTGTTATTTCTGTTTATTATTTTATTTTTATTTACGTTTTTGTTTTTGTTTTTGTTTTTTTTATTTTTCAAATCATTTTATTTTTATGTTAATTCGTGGCTATTATTTATGATTTATTATTTTGGACGCAATCAAAACTTAAACCACAATCAATTTCCTACCTTAACTATTACGTAGCTGTGCAATCGATAAAGAAACAAAATCTTGTCGAAGTTAAATCAATGTCCAATCCTCCACCCCCTGTGAAAATGGCTCTTGAGTCGATTTGTTTGCTTCTTGGAGAATCGACATCTGATTGGAAAGTTATCAGATCCGTTCTTCAACGGGATAACTTTATTTCCACAATTGTCAACTTCCACACAGATAATATAACGTAAGAACAATCAATTAATCATTTGTTTCTTTATTTTTCTCCTCTCTTTGCTTCGCTATCTTATTACCTGACAAATTGTTGAACAATTCATTTGAGTAGCTGTGAAAGGTATTAAAAGGCAACATTTAGTTGAAGTCAGGTCAATGAGTAATCCACCGATTCTCGTGAAAATGGCTTTGGAATCAATTTGTTTACTTCTAAACGAACAAGTTCTTGATTGGAAAGCAATTAGAACTGTTATCATTCGTGATAATTTTATCCCGACAATCCTCAAATTCAATACTGAAGGAATTGCGTAAGAAATTAACTAATTGTGTGATGACCGATCTTTTTTATTTTCAATATTGTTTTCATTACAATTATCGTTGTTACTTTTCAATTAATTTCAATAGTTTGCTTTTTTTCATTATCATTTTTTTGCTCATCTTCCCCGTTATACATTTTCTCCATCTAATTTCCACTAATTGATTGATTTTACAGGAATGATATACGACAAAAAATGCGAACCAAATATCTGGAAAATCCTGATTATAACTTTGAAAAAGTTAACCGTGCTAGTCTTGCCTGTGGTCCATTGGTCAAATGGGCGATAGCTCAGCTCAACTACTCGTCAATGTTGAAGCGTATCGAACCTCTGAGAAATGAATTGACCAGTTTACAATCAGAGGCTGAAAGTAATAAGAAAAAAGCTGCTGATATTGATTCAGTTATTGTTAATTTAGAAAAGTCAATTGCTTCATACAAAGAGGAGTACGCTAACCTCGTTAGTCAAGCTCAAGCCATTAAAGCTGATCTAGCCTCGGTTCAGGCTAAAGTTGATCGTAGTATTGCTCTTATCTCATCGTTAAGCTCAGAGCGGGAACGTTGGGAACTGTCTAGTGAAACTTTCAAACATCAAATGCAGACTATCGCTGGGGATGTGCTTTTATCATCAGCGTTCCTTGCTTATGCTGGTTACTTTGATCAACAATATCGTCAAAATTTATTCAATTCTTGGTGCACACATTTACAACAAGCTGCAATCCTTTTCCGTCCTGATCTTGCTCGAACTGAATATTTATCAACAGCTGATGAAAGGCTAAGATGGCAAGCAAATTGTTTACCATCTGATGATCTGTGCGTTGAAAATGCAATCATGCTGAAACGATTTAATCGTTACCCACTGATCATTGATCCATCCGGACAAGCAACTAAATTCCTGCTCAATGAGTTTTCCAACAAGAAGATTACCAAGACAAGTTTCTTGGACGATTCGTTCCGTAAAAACTTAGAGTCTGCTCTTCGTTTTGGTAATCCATTGTTAGTTCAAGATGTTGAAAACTACGATCCTATTCTCAATCCAGTTCTTAATCGTGAAGTACGTAAAACTGGTGGTCGAGTGTTGATAACTTTAGGAGATCAAGATATTGATCTTTCACCATCTTTCTCTATTTTCCTCTCGACTCGAGACCCAACCGTTGAATTTTCACCTGATCTCTGTTCTCGAGTTACATTTGTCAACTTTACCGTCACCCGGTCCAGTTTGCAGAGTCAATGTCTAAACCAAGTCTTGAAAGCGGAAAGACCAGACATTGATGAGAAACGTTCCGATCTATTAAAACTTCAAGGTGAATTTCATGTTAAATTACGACAACTTGAGAAATCGCTTCTTCAAGCTCTCAATGATGCCAAAGGTCGGATTCTTGACGATGATAATGTTATTGGTACATTAGAAAAACTTAAGAATGAAGCTGCCGATATCTTCCGTAAAGTCGAGGAAACGGACAAAGTAATGGCCGAAGTGGACGCTGTGTCTCAACAATACATGCCACTGTCTCATGCATGTAGTTCAATTTACTTCACTCTCGAAGGTCTCAACCAAGTGCACTTCCTTTATCAATACTCACTACAATTTTTCCTGGACATTTACAGTGACGTTTTACTTCGTAATCCTCACCTCGAAGGTGTTAACGAACCAAACGCTCGACTTTCTATTGTAACCAAAGATCTTTTTGAGGTAAGTTAAATAATTCAATTTCTTATAAAATTTCTTATTAATCAACATCTATTGTCTCCTTTTCGAACTCACTCAGAATGTTTACCGACGTGTGACTCGAGGAATGCTTCATGACGATTGGATTGTTTTCGCTCTTTTATTATGTAAAATTCACCTTCGTGGTTTCTCAGCGTAAGTTGAACACATAATTTTAAACTGATTCATTTTTCTTTATTAATCAATTTTTTTATTTCTCTCTTTAGTGAGCCCAACTTTGAAAATGAATTTGATCATTTCTTACGAGGTAAAGAAGGTATTTTACCTGGACAACCAACAGTGTCGTCATCTTTACTAAACACTGACCAACTAGAAAATGTGACCGCTCTCTCTAAGTTACCCGCTTTTAAAAGTATCCAGCAAAAGATTGATTCGTGTTCTAATTTGAAAGAATGGCTTGATACTACTGCCGCTGAGGAAAATGTCCCTCAATTGTGGGATGATGAGAAACTATTAACTTATGTTGGTATTGCAATGCACCAACTATTAATAACCAAAGCTTTCCGACCAGATCGTGTTATTGCCATGGCACGAAAAGTGGTTGAGACAGTTTTAGGAGCTGCTTTCCTATCAGCTGCTGAAACTGAACTGGACATGACAAATATTGTACAGAAAGAGATTAAACCAACAAATCCTATTCTCATGTGTTACGTTCCTGGTTACGATGCTTCAGGAAGAGTTGAAGATCTATCAGCTGAACTTGGAATTAAACCTGTTTCCATTGCTCTTGGTTCAGCGGAGGGTTTCAGCCGAGCTGAGAAAGCAATTAATTCAGCTTCCAAAAATGGTGGTTGGGTTATCTTGAAAAATGTCCATCTAGCTCCCCAATGGCTTGTACAGTTGGAGAAAAAATTACATACCCTTCTAGCTCATCCAGGATTCCGTCTATTTTTAACATTTGAAATTAATCCAAAAGTACCAGTCAACTTACTTCGCGCTGGTCGAATATTTGTCTTTGAACCACCACCGGGAATCAAGGCCAATCTACTAAGAACCTTTAACACCATTCCAGCTGAAAGAATGACCCGACTACCAGCAGAGCGATCTCGCCTTTACTTTTTACTCTCATGGTTCCATGCAATTGTGCAAGAGCGACTTCGATACTGTCCTCTTGGTTGGTCCAAAAAGTATGAATTCAACGAATCAGATCTTCGAGTAGCAAGTGATACATTAGATACTTGGATTGATTCAGTTGCTCTTAACCGCACCAACTTACCGCCTGAGAAGGTTCCTTGGGACGCTATCAGGACTCTTTTTGGTCAATGTATTTATGGTGGTAAAATTGATAACGACTTCGATCAACGTTTATTAACATCTTTCTTGAACAAACTTTTCACATTTAAAAGTTTCGAGCCTGATTTTGGTCTAACAACTGCTTCCGGTCCTGACGGGAAACAGTCTTTGATAACTATGCCGGAAGGTAATGGTCGAGATCATTTCTTTGAGTGGGTTGAAAGTCTTCCGGAAAAACAAACACCCTCATGGCTTGGACTACCTGATAATGCTGAGAGGGTACTTTTAACTAATCAAGGTGCTAATGTTGTCTCTAAATTATTGAAACTTCAATTAATTGAAGATGATGAAGATGTAGTTTATGTTAGTGAAAGTGAAACCAGTGAGGGTACACGACGAGTTAAACAATCTTCCGGTGACGGTCGACCTGCTTGGATGCGAACCCTTCTCAATTCAGCAACTAATTGGCTTCGATTATTACCAAATAATTTACAAACTCTCCATCGAACAGTTGAAAATATCAAAGATCCACTTTATCGTTACTTTGAACGTGAAGTTAACAGTGCATCTCGTTTGCTTGAAATTGTCCGACATGATTTGGATGATGTTCAGCTGATTTGTAAAGCAGCTAAAAAACAAACTAATCACCACCGTTTAATGATCAGCGATTTAGCCAAAGGTGTAATTCCCAATCATTGGAGGAAATATACAGTCCCACAGGATACTACGGTTCTTCAATGGATTGCTGACTTCAGTGATCGAGTTAAACAATTACAAAAGGTTTCCAATAGATGTACTTCAGGAGGAGCTTCCGTATTAAAGGTTTGTTATTGATTAATTTAATTAATTAACATCATTTTTGTGACAAAAATTTTCCTTTCTACAACTATCATAGGGAATTAATGTTTGGCTCGGAGGTTTATTCAATCCTGAGGCTTATATCACAGCAACTAGACAATATGTTGCTCAAGCAAATAATTGGTCACTTGAAGAGTTATACTTGGAAGTGGAAATTGCTGATTCGGACAATCAAAATATAGTAATGGATGAATGTAGTTTTGGTGTAACAGGTAATTAATTAGATTGCTGTTTAATGCTATGCTTTTGCTTGTATGATTGAATATAAATACTCACTCAATTTTTTTTCTCTCAATTTGGTTAACAGGATTGAAATTACAAGGAGCAAAAACAACTAAAAATAAACTTTATTTAACTTCGGCAATAATGACAGATTCACCATTAACCCGTCTCAGATGGAGCAGGTAAACTAATTGTTTTTTGGCTCTACGAATGATCAATATTATTTCAATCTAATTAACAAAATCTTTCTCTTTTATTTAACTTACAGAGTCGATAAAGGAACTGGAATCAAAGGATGTAAAGTTACCTTACCTGTTTATCTTAATCTCAATCGATCTGTTATTTTGTTCACTGTAGACCTTGAAGCTGGACCTAATCATGATGAATTTTCTTTCTATGAAAGAGGAGTTGCCTTTATCAGCTCTTCCCTTGGTTAATTGTATCATCAATTTCTAATTATTCTTATCCTATCTCTCTTCCACCTTCCATCTTTCTCCTTTTTCATCCATTTTTTTACTCCTTCAAAGAGTGAAAACTAAAACCAAAAGCCATTTTAGGAAACTAAAGCAAAGCAAGAGAAAAGCTTCTCATCTTGTAAAGTTAATTAGTTGATCATCTTTTTCACAATTTACTTTTATCACTTTTTCACACACTCTCTTGGTCTTTACATCTTCAACTACCTCCCACCACCCACTTTACCTCCCACTCTCTCTCTCTCTCTTTCTATGTCATTCTCCCATTTTCTGCTTCTCTATTTATAAAACTACAGCAAAATTTAAAAAATGAATTCACAGGTGATAAAGGCTTTTTATTTTTGCCAATAATAATATTGTATTTGATTAAAAACAAACAATTAAGCATAAAAAAACAACAATCTTGTTAAAGTTAACCAAATATAAACAAATTGTTTGGTTAACTAAACACAAACTATGGACATAATAGTAATAATAATTTGGTTGCAATTATATATTTGAAAACAAAAACAATATTAAACAATTTAAATAACATCAATGAAAAAAAGTATTTTAATCAATTTAAATCAATCAAAGTTCAACTTGACAGGTACACTTACAATTTTTACCAATTTGTGTTGGATGATGAACTTCATTAATTGTTTCATTAAACACCGATTGATCAATCGGCGGTTTAACATGATCAACAAATGAATTAAGATAATTACCCGGTGGATTATAATTACAACAAATGAATAACCAATCGGATCCCTTAATTGCTGCAGCACCACAACCTAGTGAATCGGTTGATGACCAAACAATTTGAGTGAAATGATAAGTGTAAGGTGTAAATGATTCATCAGATGACCAATTAGAAACGTATTTGTATTCATCAAACCAAATTGAAACCACATCGGAACAATTAACAATCGGTTTGGAAGCAATTAAAGGCCAAGCAGCTAAATTTTCACCATAAGATGAAGCCTCGTGAAGTAAATAAGATGTATCGTTGAGCGAGGCCAAAGTAGCGGCTCGAGCTTGAGCGAAGTTAATTATCTGTCCAACAATTAGAATGAATCGATTAGGTCAAAATTAATTACGAACAATTAACTTACATTATTATCAATCTTCAACGGGCCAACTCCATGTCGAGACCTCAGTTGATTGTGAGCATTTAAACAATCACGATTAAATAATTCACTTGAATAATCAACTATTTCAATCGGTTTAATTGTTGTCTTTATTTCACTTGATTCAGTTGTTGTTGGTGATGGTGTTTCACTTAATTCAGTTGTCGTTAGATCATTAATTGTTTCAGTCAAATTGTAATCAGTTGTTGATTCAGATTCTTGAGTTTTAACTTCAACAATTAACTCTGTAGTTGTTGAAATTGTTGATGTTGACTCCAATTCTGATTCAGTTGTAACTTTAATTGTTGTTGATTCTGAATAGGAAAAATAGAAGAACAATTTAATTAACACAATTAACTAAATCAGGTTGTCATCTATTACCTTGGGCTTTAATATTACCGCTTAAAAGAGTTACAATTAGCGTAACAATTAACTGATTACGAAGCATTTTAATCCAATACTTGGTTAATTTCAATTCCTATGTAACTGAACATAGACTGAACATTTCTGATTAATTTAGTTGCTTGATTACTAATTCACGTGAGTAAAATTTAATAGTAATTTAAATTTTAATTCTCTTCACAATTTAGCCATGATTAAGGTAAAATGATAATAATAAAAAGCAATTGTAATGATTTACGAAACTTTCTAATTCGCAAAATTAACTTAAGATTAACTTGATGTTCCCACCGACCTTGTGTTGTCTTGTTAATCACAATTAAATCATAAACCAATGATTACAATATAGTTGATTAGTTGATTAACTGATTTTAGGTAAATTCCGTAAACAATTTATTTCCACAACAATAAAATCATTAATAACAATCTTGAACAATTTAAATTAGAAAAGATTTTTAATTCTTAAAAAGTGAAAACTTATTAACCTCACAATCAGTAAATTATCATGATAATTTCAAATCAACAATGTAATCATTTGAATCTCATTTAATTGTGAATCATTAACTCTTAATTGTTATTTAATTGTTTCCAACATCGAGAAAAAGTTTTTCTAATCATTTTCATTACAATTAAATGATTTGACAAACGATTAAGTTAATCATGTTAACTAAACTAAACCAAATCAAACTTTATTGTTAATCATTACAATTAAGTGAAAGTAAATACGATCATCACAATCAATTTAATATGGTCCAAGTTTCAATTGTAACAATTTATTATTTTATTTAAATGTTCACTAAAAAGTGTAACCAATTGATTAGCATTTGGATTGTCAACTTAAATGATTAACTTGATCATATTTGTTGACTAAAAGTGATTTATAAATTGTTACAGATTAAGTTTTTGAATGAGAAATTTTTTTTCCAAAAAAATGATTACTTTTAAAAAGCAATTGATTATTTACAATTAGTTTAATTGAGATCAAAATTAATAAATTAACTTGAAGCTAAAAACATTTAAATCATAATTGTCATTGAAATTCACTTTAAATTGTTACTGTAATTTAAATTGATTGCGGATAAAAAGAGACGAAAATGATTTACAGCTGATTATTAATTTAATTTCTCAATAGTGATTTATCATTAGTTAGATTAATTTAACTGTTGATTGTAATGATGCCTTCGTCGTTTAATTAACTCTCAAAGTAATAAGTTAATCATAATAATAAGAAATTAAGTTAAATCAAAATGTTAATTTTGTTTAAACTTCATTGAAGATTATCAGATATGATTAACTAATTGAGTTGATTAAAGTTATATTAGTGAATTGGTTAAATTCATAATTCACTTTGAGCCCTGAGGTTAAATTGTTACTGTTTGATTAACTGTATGATTAAAATAATAACATAAATGAATTAATGTTTAACTAAAATTGAAGAAGCTTCAATTTAGTAAAGATTAATTCAAATTGTTTTCCTATTCAATTTAGTTATTAGCAATTCTGATTAAACTGTTAGACAGTTAGTACAACAATTAAACTTGATTTGTTTGAATATCCTGTAAATTGACCTTCGAAAGATTAACAAGAGGAAACAAGGATTGATGATTAGTTAATTACAACAATTTATCCATTGGTCATCTTGGATAATTAATAACAAGTTTTTTCTTTACAAAAACAAATTGAATATGAATCTATTCAAGGTTAGAAACTATCAGATTAACATAACAACAATTCATCAGGTAAATCATCAATTTTTACTTCTAGAGATTAATAACTGATTGTTGGCTAATTGTAGACAAATATTAAGTTAAGAAGGATGAAGATGATAATAATTTAGGTCCAATTGTATTTCACCTTTCAACAGTTTCTGATTACAGTTGAAAATAGGTGTTGGTTTCACCTTGGGAGTGATTTTCCTCCTCCTTGAGAAGAGGTCAGATCTTTTTTCCTTGGTCACTTTGAATAATAATAAACACGGATATTGATACTTTGGGTTATGAAGACGAGATGAGAATGATAATAATACCATATTATTATATCCATTAGGATGGTTATTAGTAATTTAACCTGTCAACCTTATATTTACACTTTTCCTTCGAGATGAAAACCTAATGCAAGAGGTAAAAAAAAGGTGAAAAGTTAAAGGTAAAGGTAAAAATAATGAATATACATACTTAATATACACATAGACAAATATTCATATTTGAAAAGTGTATAAGACAAATATTGAAATATGAAATTAAAAAGGTTGTACCTTTGGGTATGTGAGTAAATATTACCCTTAGGGGTTTTCGTATTATCATCAGCATCATATTCATCTTGATTATCATCTTATAAGTATCGTCAGTCGACTTCACTTGACTTAACGATTTGGAAAAACATATGCTCTTGATGAGAAGAAATTTTTTACACCAAGTAACGTGTAGATAGTGATGATTATCGTTATGATTATGGGGATGAAGGTGTAGATGATTTTATGTTGATTTGTTGAAGAAAAGGCTTCTCTTTGTTGTTGCTTGGTAAACATGGATTCAAGTTTGTTTTTCCATTGTTGTTACTTGTGAAACCCCCACAGATAATTAGTGGTGTTCAATATATTGGCACCAAAACTCCTCTTTTCGTGTGTTTCACACCCACCAAGCATTTTCCTCTCTCATCTCCCCTCTTTCACCTTCGCCACCTTTTTCCTTTTACTTTTAGAGTATCATCATTATCATCATCAGCATCTCTCTCTCTCTCTCTCTCTCATCGTTATAATTACTATCAGCACAATCATAATAATCATGAGAGTATTTTACCATCCAGTCCATCTATCTCTCTGTCCATCTCCTCGTTTCATGTTGGTTTCACATCTCAAACCTCAGAACCAAAAGTCATCTTGTTGTTGTTGTTTCTTGTTTGATCGTTTATCGTGATAATTTGTACTCCAGGTCACCAACTGTGTGTATAATACTTAACCAAATACTTTAAGACCTCTACTGAAGATGAGGATGAGGATGAAAAACAGAAGAAACAAAAAAGAATTAAGATAAACCTTCAAAGAAAAAAAAACAAGACCAGATGCTTATTAAAAATAATTACGATACTTACCTAATGGGTGCTAACTGTTGTTACCCCAAAGTCAATCATTTTCAATCATGATCCTTGATTAGAGTAGCTAATTGTTTCCTTGTAGTACTTACCTTCACTCAGTTTTATCTTCTTTAAAAATGATAGGAAAAATTTGACCGATTAAAAGATTAAACAAAAAGAGTGGAACAATTAAAATCAGATCAAAGTAAACAAATTTTAATCTTTTCTCAAGACAAAACAATTACATCACTTTTGTTGGCGCTTCTTCAAAGAGGCGCCACTTTTGTTTTCTTTTGTTTTCTAATCGATGAAATGAAAAATCGTCTTTGGTTAATGGTAACATCTTAGTTATGATCGCACTGGTGTGGCTTAATTATCCCTTTAAATTTTCATCCAATTGGAATTGATCACAATCTCTGTAAGTAAACACACAATTAATTATTAATTTAACTTGATCAAAAAATCACAATTTTAATAATTAGGAACTTGGAACAATTATGAAATTGAACATGTTGTTTGTGTTGATGAGTAGGGTGTTGGTTAAACATTGATTAAGGTTCAAAATTTGCATTATTAAACAATTCACTTCGGTACTGATTCGCAATATATTCAATCATTAAATTGAACCTTTCACCAGGATTTTTCCCATGAAAAAATCTTCGTCTAAATAGATAATCAATCAAATACTCAGATCTTTTTGAACCATTAGTTTGCTTTGGACTACTTTCTTTTAGCCCTTTCCAGAGTCTTTCAATTGTTTGGGTGTGGATGGTTTTGTTGTGTGGATTAAGAAAATTTTTACTGTGATTTACAGTATAATGAATATAACCCAAATTTTTCAGGTTATTATATCCTCTCCACTCATCGGTAAATATTGTTGTACCTGTTTGAACTTTTCTTTGAATAATCTCGTCTAGTGTAGGCATTTTTCTATTTGGGGCAATCTCAACAAAACAATGTCCAGTCTCTCTCTCGATACCACCAACAACCCAAACCTGCTTCGACTGATTAGCTAATAAACGACCCTTTCGATACTTTCTTTTGAATAAAACTGATTCATCAATCTCAACGTGTCGATCTTCACCACCGATGATTTCACCAAGGTCGATAAGAACATCCAATGCAACCTCACGACAGAATTGAAAATAATCCACAATTGTATTCTTATTGAGATTAATATTCTCAAGTACTCGCTTATTCTTATCATGTCCACACCAAAGGAAAACCACCTTGTAGAAATCAAGTAAATCTATCCGCATTTTCTCAAAACAAGTTCCTCTAGTTGGAGAAATATATTGTTTACATACACTACATCGGTACAAATAGTTGAGTTTAGCGGTGGATCGAGGTGTTGGGTTTAAATAACCAAGACATTCATTGGTGAGAAAACAAAAGTACTGATTACGTTTAAGTGGTTTAAGGGGTAGAAGTTCAAAATGCTCGGCGAAATCAGTACCAGCAATACGACCATCATCACATTCTGTAATTGAACTCACAAAATTGAAAGCATTGAGAGAACTAAAGAAAAGGTTATCAAACATGTTGATCAAAATTAAAATGTTTATTGATTTCTAATTATTAATCTAATTTTGCTCTTCATCAACATCATCTTCATCTTCATCTTCATCTTCATCTTCATCTTCATCTTCACCTTCATCTTCATCTTCATCTTCATCTTCTGGTTCTCAGTCAGTATTTTCATCATATTGTTCAATAGTATCCCAATTAAAGAAATGATTTCTTGAATAGTCGATTGATTTTTGATCAAGTTAAATTAATAATTAATTGTGTGTTTACTTACAGAGATTGTGATCAATTCCAATTGGATGAAAATTTAAAGGGATAATTAAGCCACACCAGTGCGATCATAACTAAGATGTTACCTGGTTAATTACTATTTTTTTCCAACAATTAAGCTTAATTGTTTGTTCTTTATTATTTTAAACTGTTCAGCAATCAAAAGGTAAGTCTTTTGAAGGAACTAATCTTTTATTGTCAATCTCTCTTGTTAATACTTTCCTATTGCGTGTGTTTATTTACATGATGAGTGTTAATCTGTTTCCATCAATCTTATTTTTGTTTATTATGTTTTTATTTTTTTTCTTTTAGTTAAATGATTTACAAATTGTGTCAATTTGAGCAGATAAATTGTTGAACAATCAGAGATGATAGTGAGAGCAAAACTAAACGATTAACGTTTCGATGGTTGGGAAACACTTGAAGGTAAAAAAGAACCTGAGTAAATACAAATGGACGACAGTCTATAGAACATGTAATGATAATATTTTCTATTCTATTTTTTTTTTCTCTTCTTTTCTACTTGCAGATTTAAAATGACCACTGGTCAAAGGTTAAACAACAGGAGAAGAGAAGAAAAAATCGTGTCAATGTTATAATGATTACTGTTATTACGGTTACTGTTGAACAGAAATGATGTAAGGTGATCAACAACAACAACAAGGATGTATCACAATCACACAGATTAGTTGTATTGATGTTCAATTATTGTGATCACGCTGATCAATCTAAATCGTAATCATAATCATCCGTGTGGAGAGAGACTGAGAAGGAGATGAAGATGACCTCAGTAACAGTGTATTAAAGGTTAAAGGTTATTGTTAAAATTTGTGATCTAGTGAAAGGTGAGACTGTTACGGTTACCACACCAAGATGAGAAGATGCTAAAAAAGGTTAACTGAAAAAACTGTTGCTAAGGTCAAAGAGTGAATACTTTTGGAAAGATATTACTTTCAATGATCGATCGATTCTCATCTTGTTATTAGTTACCTGGAAATCTAAGCTAACTAATAACAATTAAACAAAAAGAACTCTCCAAAAACAGAAAACAGTTTTGTTTTCGTTTACACTTTTACTTTGGCTCATCTTCACTGTTAATGTAACAATTTAGATGAAAATGTTCAGGGCGTTTTTAAATTAATCTTCTATTTGTTGATTCTCATCATAATCATTTCAAATTATTTCATAAGATAGATGATTATGATTACGGTTGGTGGTGGTTGGTGTTAGCTAAAGTTACACTTTCGTTGATTGTGATTGATGTGATATTAACTTATAACAACGAACATAAGAAAACCTATTAATTAAAAGGTAAGAGATTAACCAAAGAGCAAAATAATGACCAATTTTAATTGTTGATTACCATGGAAATATCACCTGGAAATCTGTTAACAATTAGAATGTGATTTAAAAAAATCATTCACTAATTAAATTGAGACAATCTATTAACACTTATATTTTATTCAATATTTATTACTGTTTCTTTTTCACAGAGTTTAGTCCAACAATTTACCTGATTGTTAACGATAATGTTTTTCCTGTCTACTTGATAGTTAAACTTAAATGGTCAACATTAAACTGGAGATTATTGATCAAAATTAACGGCAAAGGAATCAAGTTAATCTGTATTATTAACCATTTCAAGCGCCAATATATTTATAACTAAAAAGTCAAAAATACCCTAGACGATAAATTGTTAAATTGTTATATAGTTTTTACCTTAATTGTAAGGTTAATTAGTGGGTTTACAAGGAGCTTGTAAAGTGTAATAACAATATCGGGAAAAGGTAACCCAGAAGCAAAAGAATAGGTAAAAATTGAGAAAAAAAAACGAAAATGGCGAATACATAATTTCTTTTCCCTCTTTTTTAGGTAAATTGTTATTAAACTGATACGGATGATCGATGGGAGCAATAATTTATCTGGACATAACGATGACGACCGAAGATGAACCAACCTGAAAGACGAAGAGAGTAAAAGAAAACGGACCAACCTCTTGGTCTCACCTAAATGTCTTAAAGTCACGATAACGAAAAGAAGCTGAAATGGTCAAGAGAAGACGAAGAAGATAAGGAAGAAGAAGAAGAAGGAGGATGAAAAAAAGATGAACAAGAGATTGATGCCTCTTTCACTATTGGAAAACAAGAGAAATACATTCAAGGGAGATAATAAAAAGAGACAAGGTAAAAGGTAAAAGGTTGAAAAAGAAACGATAAAAAAAGCATCAGCAATTATGACATAAATCTTAAGGTAGGAAAGGTAAGGGTCTTTAATGATGACCTGGGTCCACTTTGAGAAAAGCACCCAGGTCATTTTCATCATCTTCCTGTGTAGTGGACATACACAGGCCACCATGATGCTCAGGGCGTCCATTGAAATAAATCAACTAGATTAAAGCTCTAACTAATAACGATAATGATAATGATAAGGAAAACATTAACATTGGCAAATTAAAATTATTTATTGCATTGGAAACTGATTAACAATCATTGTTGTTAATCATCAAACCGTTTGCAAGCTGATTGTTGCTGTTATTATGTCTATTGGGTCTTAAAAAACTTTTACAATTAACGTAAATTGTTTGGGAGATCTTAGGATCGTAAATCGCTTTCTTTTTACTTAAATTATTGTATTGTAATCAACTAATACACTAAATCATTGCAATATGCATGACTTGTTGCACTTACAATTAACAAATTTACTTGATACCAATACAATCAATATTGATTACTGGGAGTTAATCATGATTAGCAAGGCTGATTTGTTGAATACTAATGAAGGTGAATACGAAAAGTAAATCAATTGAAATTAGCTGAAATCTTACTGTTGAAAGGTTGGTTATAGTTAATTAACTAACATGGTTCATTAATTGTCGGCCGATTAACATGATTATTCAAAACAATTAGACTTTACTGATAATCGTTGGTCATTTAAATTGCTAAATTAAATTTAAATCCAACACAGTCATTTATCTAGATTATATTTCATGATAACTGATTAGAGGTTAACCAACATGATTAACATATTGTTAAAAAGAGGAATCAAATCAAGGATAAGGTAGATAACTGTTAACAATTTAACATCTGACAACAATTAACTATTAATAAGCTTATTATTATTTACTTATGAAACCATTTCCATAAAGATTTTCAAAGAAATGATAATCTGAAGAAAAAAAGATCTTAATCTTAATCGTAAGCAATTGAATGGATTAAGAATTAGATATAAATGAAAACGTGTCTTAATCATTAAATTGATGATATTCAATATCTTCCTATGAGGATTATATTGGGCGGTCAAGATGAAGATAAATAGTTAACATTTTTTGACCTTATTTTGATTGTAACAAATCATTAATGATTATCTTTTGAAACTAAATTGTGTAGGTGTATCGTAATATTACATAGACGATTTAGTTGATTACTATTATCCAAAAATAGCTTTAAATTATCATCTCTCTCTAAATTACAAGGTTAATCTGTGGGTCAATTAATAGATGAAAATGGTAAACAATTGTAATTAATTAAAGTTAATCAGGTTAATTACTTTCATGTGGGTAAAATGAAATTTTCGTACTTACCTTTATATTAGATGAGATTGTGAAGGTTGAAATTAAGATAATTGTTATGATCTAAAATGATTTAAGGTGAACATTAGATTATGATAACCAACAATCAGCCAAGAATTAAATGAAACAAGTACATTATAATTAGCAAAATTTCAATATAATTCAAATGTTTGAATGAATTGGTTTCATCTCTCCTTAAACAACTATTGTTAATTATTGGTCAATTTTTATCTAAATTGATTGTCAACCAATGTTTCTCATCTGTCCAAAGGAAATGAATCCAATTGTTGTTTAATTGTCCATTTAAATTCAAAGGTGTATCACTGCTGTTAATTTAAAGATATGAAAAAGACAACAATTAGATGGAAGCAAAAAAAAGAAGAGCAATTAATGTCTCATAATTTAATGAAAGTTTTAATAACAACACATTGACTCTTCTCGTTAATTGTGTGTATTATGTGATCAGTAAATTATGACCATTAACTGTTTAATAGGTGAATATGAATGAAGGTAAGTGTCAATAACGATAATAATAAAAAGGCAGCAATTCAAGTGAACCAGCAAGAAATTATATCTACTACCTTTGTAAATAGAAAACAAAATTTCTTGTCATCATCATCTTCCAATCATCAGTGGCTATCATCCTCATCACCATCATCTTAATCATCAACATAATAATCATGACCCACTGTGTTTTGATTTGTATGAAAAGGTAAATTGTTAACTACTAAAAGTAAAACAATTTATGTCCTTAACCTTTGCAACCATATGAAATTGTAATTTCAAATGGTGACCATAAAAATGGTATAACTTCAATTGTGAATTAACTAACAATCAACGTTTTATCATTAGGATATCTCTTGCTAATAAGATGATGATGATTATGATAGATAACTAATGATCTATAAAATTAAATTTATAGAGGATGAGAGAAAGCTGATGATGAGGAAGATGGAGATGATGATGAGAACCCATAGTGAGAGTTTATCTTTAACTTGGTGTCCAAATCAATTGAATGTAACGTTGCAGTTTTAATGGCGATTAGGAGCCAATCTGAATTATTACCATTGGATAATCCCGATGACATTGATTACTTTGGATAATAAGTGAATCTGTTTAACCATTTTGATTAAAAGGTCTCCTTTGTTAACGGAACTTGTACTCGATTCTGTATAAATGATGATCAAAACAATTAAATTGATTAGACAACAAATAATTGAAAAGGAAAAGTTATCAATTAAATCAAATGAAATCATAAGAATCACTTACCTTTTAATGGGCTTGATTATCATGATTGATGAGATGAATTTTGATTCACTATAGAGAAGAGAATTAATTAAAAAAAAACAAATAATAAAATGGGCGATAATTAATAAATCCAATCAAGGATTAATTGTCTTCTATCGATATAATTACTTACCTTTCAATAGGTTTATTGATTTACTAATTTTTTAATTAGATTAACGTGAGCTATAGATATGAGAGAAAAGCTAAATTAGTAAATTAGATTACAATTAATGATGAGTTTGATTGGGGCTTTTTAACAAGAGCAAGGTAAGTGATTAAGAAAGCAATTAATTTAATTACCTGATGAAAGAATCAAATTTTTATAATCAGATTAAATGAGGAAAGAAAAAGAAATCAAGATAAACATGATCTCCATTAATCTGTAATGAAAAATCATGTAACCAGAAAAATGTAATTTCATTAATATAGAAAAATTTGATGCTGTTAATTGAATTGACACACTAAGCTAACGATTAAACAAATATCAACAATTAGAAGAATTAATTGATTGATGAAGCAGATGATTTGATAGGAAAAAATTGAAGAAGAAAAAAAATCAATTCAATTAAATTAGAAAACAGAAAATATCAAGTGACATATAAGGAGAGAAGAAGAAAACAAGAAGATGCTGAGAGAAGAAATAATAAAAAAGAATAGAATATTCAACAAACTCATCATTAAATATTAACCTTAATTCCTTTGATGATCATTATCATCATCACCTTAGTGGACACCTAATCGATTACATAGTTGATGATGATGATGATGATAATTTAAGATGATGAAGAATCTTAATTATTACCTTAACACTTAAAGATTGTCACACCCAAACCTCAAGGTGTGAAGATCAACAGTACAGAGAGAAATAAATAAAATTGTCTTCTGGTTTCTCACGGTTTCCATTCCAAGATTAAGATAGTTGATGATTAGCAATTAAATTTAACCATTGGAATTAAATTATTCTAAATATTAATCACAATAGAAAGAAAAATAAACTAATAACATTGAGAATTAAGGTAAACATTGGACAAGAAAATCTGATCTGTGGGCGTTTCCATTTCGAAAAGAGGGAAAGTATCTTAATTTAAATCGACAACAATTAACTAACGACAATTAAGATCCAATTACTAATCAATTGAACATCGTAACTAAATTTTAATTTCTCAATTAAATGAGTTTAGAAAAACATTAAATCTGAAATCCTGATGATTTCTCATTCGTTGTAAAACTTTTGTTTCTTGTTTTCCTCTTTTTCTTTCATCAATTTAGTTAATCACAATTTAGATTATCATTTAGTTTCGGTTAATCATCAACCGATATTACCCAGACTTTGGGTAAGGTTAATTATTGTGGTTAACGATCATAATCATCATCATTTTGATTAGAATTGGAAAGAGAAATTAAAATTTCAAAGGTAAACTTATTTTCATGTGGGTTTTGATTCTTAATCACAATTAAGCTCAAAAGATTGTTAATTCTTAAGATTAACTTAAATATCTTCAAGTTATTAATATTATTTATCCATAGAAAATATCTAATCATATTTATCCGCAGAATATTTCATCTAATTACTATTAAAATTGACTAATTAACCAATGGCTTAGATGATGATAAGTTAATTAATCATACTGATGACAACAATCAAGTTTTGATTGTTTTCATGTTGTTGTTGTTTCTTGATTCATATTAATGTACATCCTTTTGATTGTAATCAACAAATTTCATTATCATCCAGGATCCTGATCTTGGAGTAAATTGTTGTAACCACCACCTTGTATTAATCATAATCAACAATAACAATGAGTAAATAATAATATTAACAACAATTTAAGTGTTGATTGTAATGGTGATGGTGATGATGGTGTTATCAGTGGGTGAACCTTTAATTTGATGAGGATGAGGAAGGTTATTATCATCATAATGATTAAACACTTTGTTTTGTTAATTGTATCAACACATTGAATTTAATTTGAATTTAATCTTCACCAGCCAACAATTAACCTTAAGGCTAATCACGAATTGAAAGCAGATTAAATAACAACAACATCTAAAAATGAAAAGTAATTTAAGTTAATCAATTATTAAATTAGCAACAATTAACAGCACAATGAGAAACAATCAGTTTGATTAAATGAAAAATCCTCAAGGATATTTAAAGATAAAAGTAAATCAAAACAATCAACCATCAAGAAGAAGAGGTTTAGTTTTAATTTGGTTAAATAACAATCAACTAATTCAATTCCTCCTTTTACTAATATTTAAGACAATTAGCCGACTAATTATTACAATTTAGAGTTACAATTGAATTAATTGTTTTCTCCAGAGTTAAAAGTTGCCCAAAGATTAATCAATTGATCATCAACCTTTAAACTCCCAATGACACAATTTATTAGATAAAGTTAGTTAGTTAATCACGAAAAGGATGAAAGGTTAAAGGGAGAAACAGGTTGACCCTTTTCAATTGACCTCTTTTGTAGGGGTGATGCTAAATTGTTGTCAATTGATTGTATTTGTTTAGATTTTCATTGTTAAAATCGTGATTACAATTTAAATGAGAGTAAATAATAATCATAAAATTAGATTCCATTGGATTATCATCATAATCGTTATAAAGAGTTAACCTTTAATCCCATTTTTTGGATCAACTATTTACCTCTATTTTTAACCCTTATTGTCAATCTTGAGACCATCACAATTAAAATGATTATATTATTGTGATTAAATTTGATTATTTGCTTGAAATTTAAAACTCTCAATGAATAAAATATATTATTTTATTTATCCACAGGATTAACTCATTCTTATCCCTTTTTATATAAATAAATGAATATATCTTGTTGTTGTTATCACCCTTTACCTTGTTACACTTTGAGTTGACCTACACCAATGGTCAATGGTCACCGATGGTCCACCTAAGAAAGAAAAGAAAGAGAAAACCTGAGATTCAGATAAACAGATAAGGAGAAATGTGAAAACATAACAACAGATTCTTATATACACTTGGATGGTCAATTCATTGGTCATCTCATTCATCTAATTCGTTGAGTTGCTTTTTCTTTTGGTCATCCAATTTTTTTTTCTTCATCTCTCTCCCAAACCCTTTCTCTTTCATATCATCATTATTATTATTACAATAATAATAATAGTGTTTAAAGGTAAGTCCCTTTTGATTTACATCTGACAAAAGGCTTTGGTCAACATGAGACACACAAACACAGTTTTGTATTGGTCAAGAAAAGCAAAATATTTTGGTAAACATTGCAAGAGAAAGTAAGAAATTGTAATAGAAGAAAAAATTTTGACCTACAGAAAAGATGACCAGTGGAAGAAAATTAAAAGTTTTCTAATATTTTCCCAGAGAAGATGAAACTTTTTCTTCTTCTGTTTTTGCTATATGTTGGTCATCTCTCTCTCTCTCTCTCTCTCTCTCTCTCTCTCTCTCTCTGTGTCCACTTTTATTACTTACCTTGAGTAAACATTCTTGAGAATTTCGAATTTTCTTTTACCGATTCCAATTCTCTTCCATCACCTTTGAATCGATTAATATCTCAACACTGACCATCACCTATTCCTTCATCATCTTCCAACAGGTAAGTTTGTTTTCCTACTAAAAAAGAGAGAAAGAAAAAAAATCTCTCTCTTGTTTTTATCATCACTTTGATCTGTTGGGTAAATATTGGTCATCCTATTTTCTGGTCATCATTATCATTCAATTGACCATCAGGTATGTTTCATCACAGAAAACCATAAATTCAGGGTTTCCTTTGTTTATCTTGTTACCTGTATTTACATAGGTGACCATTGGCTATTCAACATGATAATAGTTCATTATTATTGTTGATAAATTGTTACAATTTATTGATTATCATCATTAAATGATAAATAAAATTCATCCATTGAAAAGATAATCATTATAAACACCATAACTGAATAAACAGTAATCATCTTAATCAATACATTGAATGAGTGGTAACAATCAAATTTAATCATGATAATACTTTAATCCTATAATCTGCTGATTATCATGATTAGACTTGCGTATCGTTAATTATTAGGATTATAAATGGTTGATGATTAACCAATCAAAATCAATTTGATCAACAACAAGTAACAAAAGTATTCAGTTTATTGTTAACAATTAAACTTTTGTTTCTTCTTACATTAATTGTTAACAAAAACTGATTACTATTAACGGAAATCGTAACAATTAACTTTCAACAATTGGGTCAATCATTAAATACCTTTTTTTTAACAGGAAACAATTGATTGTAATGATTAGTGATTGGGAAGCAATAATAGTAAATCATTTGAGTTGTGAGTTGATTTTTATTGCTTTGTTTTTCCGTTCAGACAATTAACTAACTAATCAAAATTAACTAACACACAGGTAAATGTCACTAATCCTCATTTCCTCAACAATCAGAATATCAAATTAAAGTGAAGAAAAAAAAATCAATTAACTAACAGATAATTAAAGTGTTGTTTCATTGATTTATCATCGTTACTTTGATCAACAAGATGATATTTGATTGTTGGGTGAAACCTTAACAGTATCCCAACCCTTAATTGTGTCCAGTTGATTATAATAACTACAATATAATTAATATTATCTACAACTACAAGATAGTAATTTAAACTTAATTGTAACCTGATAATTATAAGGTATTAAGATGGTGAGTCTAATCAACCCAACCCAACATGAAAAGTTGACGATTATCACTAATCATTTATGATTAACACTCTTAATTGTCATTTGAATTAATTTATATATTAATATAAATAACATCAAATCATCGTGATGATTATTATGCATTTGAAAAGTGACCAAATTTACCAAAAATTGTATTATCGTTGCAACTTCAACAAAATATTTCTCATCTACTGGTCAACCGCATTGGTCATCAAATTTACACAGGTAACTGACCATATGGACACGCAAGATTAGAGGTGAATCAAGGCAAATGGTCAGCAGAAGGAGCTTCAAGTTGAAAGGTAAAAAACATAACAAGGAAGCAAAAAAATCGCATTCAGGTAAAGGCTTTTTCTTACCTGACCATTTGTACCTTATAGTTTTTTACTATTATTGTAGTTGATGATGAACTCTTTCAATTGATGTTTCATTTAAATTGTTATTATTGTTAGATATTGATTGTTATCAATGATGATGATGATGATGATGATTGACAAAAAAAAGGGAGGCAGGTGAAAGATGATAAAGTGATGCGGATGAAAGTTGATGAAAGTTTTGTATTGATATTTATACATTTAAGTTTACCTTTACCTTTCATTCATCAACATTTGATTGTTGTAATTAAAATATCAAGCAATTGGAACAGTTTCTTTTAAGATGATAATCAGCTGCTAAATTTAGTTAATTAATTCAATGACTGTTAATTGTTCAATATAATTAATTAATATCTTGATAAACTGAAGGTGAGAAAAAAATTTCAACATTTCAATTTAATAAAGCAAAAGTGACTGTTAATTAAATAATAATATTAATGATCTTGTAATTGAATTAATTTACACATAAAGCATAAGAATTAAGTTAATTGTTACAATTGAAAACAAAATTATAAGAAAATATTTTCAAAATCTAATTAACTTTAAGCATAACAATCAACTAATACATATGCATTAATAGTTTAGCAAATAAATTTATTTTCTTGTTAATTGTTTCAGCAATTGAATCCATTGGAACAAATCAATCGCAGTTAATTGTGATGTTATTAAAGAGATGATATCTGATCAAGATGAAGATCATTGGAGATTCCAGAAACAAGGTAAATCGCCTCGAGGATTTATCTTCATCATCATTACATTAACTTTCACCTCCTCCGCCTTCATCAATACACCTAATTCATCCTCATCATCTTCATCTTCATCATCTTCATCCTCCTCATCCTCATCCCTCCTCCTCCCAAACAAGAAACAAAATAACTACAACTTCAATTATCCAACTAGAGCAATAAACTGGGAACCCAAAGGTAAAGTTTTAAATTCAATCTTAAACTTTGGCCTGACCTTAAGGTACAAGTTGTTTTCGTTGTTGTTGTTGTGTCCACACCTTAGTTTCTTAGGCCTAACAAGCTGATGAAACTCAATTGCATTTTTTGTTACTTCACTTTCATCATCATCTTTTCACCCTCAACAACCATTAATTTACACAAGGTAAATGAGAGAGTCTGGGCTGTGTTAATATAATATTTGAATCGCTCATCACCTTTGATTTAATTGCTTGTGAAAAGGTAAAAAATGACCAAAGAAAATGTTTCTCTTTATCTTAATTTACTTTCCTTTATTATTCTTGATAATTATTATGTAATATTATCATGATAATATAATAAAAATCGCCCAGACAATTATCACAGGTATAAATGTATAACTTTAAATTATCATCACCATCATCATCATCTGAATATGAAACAATTTAAAGTTCGTGCTGAGCAATGAAATGATTTAACAATTAGAAATCAACATATTGTAATGGTTAGTTTTTCTTTACCAAACAAATCAACAACTTCTCAACAACTGATTATTAGTTATAGTTAATGATAATCATTATGAATTGTGGGTTTGTTTCAACATTTCGACCTTAATTATCTTTCATTATCATTTTTGATTATCATGATGAAAGATTTTCAATTTACTGTTTTTCTCTAATTTCAACAATTAGGGAGCAGTTAATTATTATTATTATTAAATGAGGACGAGAATCGTGAAAACAAAAACACAATCAGTGAGAGAAAATAAAATATCCTTAATCAAAGTGATTTGCTAATTCAAATCAATCAAATTGTGCGTCTGTTTCAATCATCGACCATAATTTAATCATGATTGCTATAAACAGCGATGATAAGATTATCATTAAATGGATTATAATTTCATCATTGTATTTTAATCACTATCAATTAAATTTCAATCATGATTATTTGAAAATCAAGGGTAATTTTTTTACGATTGCAATTTAATTCATTTCAACACTAATTTTGATTATTTAGACTAATTTTGTGATCATCATCAACTGATTGTGTGTTATGTAAGATTGTATATTTAGTCAGAAAGGTAGACACAATCAGGATAAATTGTAATCAGCTAAATTAACTCATAAATCAATCTTTTCGTAATTGTAAATATACAATTTACCGATTGATTTGATTGGTTTAAAAGGTAAATAATATAGATAAATGTAAAAGTCCAGAGCAAATGATAGAGTGAGAGACTTGATTTATAACCTTTGACATGATTGATAGGAAACGAGGGAAAAAAATGCAATCCAATCAAAGTTAATCAACGGTGGACACACACAATATATAAAACAGTAACTGGAACAAGTTGTTGACAGTTGATGAAAGTAATGGTCAGCGTATTTTTTTCCTGATCTAATTGATAAAAATGGACAAAACAACAACAAATATTATTAGTAAAGGTAAACACAAGAAGCTACAGAAAAGATAAGGTAACCAACAAGAATTTTGATTATAATCAGAAACTAATGAATATTAACTAACATCCTGTTTTCTATTTGTTCAAAGTTTTAACTAATTAATTATCTTTATCGATAATCATGAAAGGACAAGATTAAACTCTAATTGGACTGATAATTAAGAAAGTTAATGATTATAATCAAAACGGTGGAAAAGGAATAATAAGAGAAAAGACTTTTTTTTTGTGTTCAATTAAACACTTTTTTCTGGGTTATTTAAGTTGTTTTTTTGCTCCTTAAATTTGTCACCTTAAGTTAATAATTAACCATCCGTGTCTCTAATTGCTGAATGATCGTTGATTGTATTTACTATGTTTACTCCTCCTATTGCTTGTCTTGTGTTTCTGGTTCATCATTGACAGGAATTAACACCTCAAGGGTGTTATAATTAATTGAAGTTCCTTCCGTTGCAATAGAAAATCACCTTAGTTTTTTACCTTTTTCTCCAATTTTTTCAATCTTAATACTATTTGTTACTCTCCATCCTCTTCTGATCCTCGGCATTTTTGTTGTTGTTGTTTCTTTTTCTTTGACTTTTCCTTTGATAACACATTATGATTAGTAAATTGTACCAACATGATGTTCCAATGTTGATGGGTATATACTCCAATTTAACCTTGGTTAACCATTCGAAACCAAACTGACCAATTGTAGTAACACAATCGCCATCGGACTGCGAGAATAACCTAAGGGTAAGGATACATAAGAATAGTATTAATCTAATGAATAATAATGATGCCATAGCTTCCGATGAGCATAAAGAAGGAGGAGGAGGAAAAAGAAGAGAGAAAAAAAAACGTTAAATTTGGTTGATTTTGTACAAATTTATAAGACTTTTTTTCGCTCTATGTTTCTCCAAGCTTACCTGGGGCTTATTCACCATGGAGGGAAAGGCGAAGAGATAAAAAAAAGCTAAACATGGCTGCTCTTTTTTGCATCATTCTCTTGATGGTCTGTTCATCTCTTGGGTATTGTACTTTACTTACATTTTACACCACAATGATCTTGCCCATCTACCATGGACACATCCGGTTCTCTATGTGAAATAAGCGTTTAACTTAATGTAATAATTGTTAACAGGGATGATGATGATAATGATTAAGCAACATCAGTCAAAGTCCACTCTAGTTGTCAGGCCTAATCTTCATCAATTAACTTACACCGAGATACCTCCAGTCTAACTTTTAGTTTTAGTGAAATCTCAATGTGAAGATAACAACGATTAACAATCAACATAAAAGAAAGAACATAAAAAAAAGAGAAACAATTAAACTGATTACTCAAAGACAATTAGAAAGGGTTAAAATCCGAAGATCTAAAATATCGGTTAAGAAAAAGATATTTGGATCAGGACTAAGATTCGTTGGCGAAAATTATTTTCGATTCTCATTTAATTATTTGTTTTCTTTTTTTAGATTAACTAAATTAATTCAAGATTCGACTCACAATTAGTGATAAATTGGGATAATCTGTGTTAGTTAAATCAACGAAATTCTATTAATAGATCTTAGTTGGAACATCGATTTGAATAAAAGATTATGGCAACTTCTCAATTTATTCACTTTCCCTAATCCTCAAAACTATTTCTGGTCTTTTTTTTATTCATTTGTTTTGTTAATTTTAAATCTAATTGTGATCTAATTTTTCTAATTTTTATTGATTATAAAATTCTGTGTTATGGTGATCATGGAAATCATCTGAAAACAATCACATGTTTCCTTTTTAATCGAGGTTTTGGTTATAATTACAATGATCTAGACATTGGTTGTGTTTATTGTTTCACAATTTTCCGGATTTAATCTAATAGATTATGACAAAATTTAGTGAATCAACTAAATCATTTCTTAAATATTCACAATCCTCTCGTAGGATTAGCTGTAAATTAGATGATAATGAGAAGCCAGGTAATACCAGGTAAGTGATGAATTTTCTTCTTTTCTGACAATCGTCCATTTTGGATATTTGGCTTTTTTTTATTCTCTTTACTGATCTCATATTCTATTCTCTTTTTCTTCCCTTTATTTCGGTGATATAATTTTCTTTAAATTTAAAAGGTTCATCGCTACTTCTACCAGTTTATCTCATGTGTCCATTATGATTCTATTAACCTTGTGCCGTAAATATACTATTGGTATTCCCGTAGAGAAGCGTTTCTTTGTATATTCTTGTTTAATCTTTTTCGGTGGTATCATCTGTGATTTCGCACCCATTTTAATACGAGCCTTTGTACCTTTTAAAGCGACCAAGGAGGGTTTTCTTAATCAATATTTGGTTAATCTTGTCTGGTGGTGGACACTGTTACTGTTAATCCCATTCCTTTGTCTAACAAGTGCCATAGTCTCATTAAATCCAACTCAAGAGGAAGATCAACAACTTGATGAATGGATTGAAAGGTAATATGATGTTGTTGTCGCAAACAATTGATTGATTACAAACCACTTATGATACCTTGATGATAATCCTTTGGATAATATTGTAATCATTTTTACTTTCATCTTATTTCTCCCACTTTCACTTTCTCTCTCACCCTTGATAGATCATCTTCTGTCTATCTCTTGGATTGGATGCAACGATATGATAAATTAACACCAATCAATAAGATTTTAAGATTATTACGAAGTGGCTCAATGATTAGGTTAATTGTTAACTTGATTCTCACCTTTGGGTCGTTAATATTTTTCAATCATATTACTCAATTAACCGGAAGCTGTTCAATAGAAATGTTAAAATCGGAAGAAGCTTGTCTTAGATTGGGTCATCGTTGGTCTGGATTTGTTGTAGATGATTTGATCTTTCAAATGTTAATTGCTAATTTAATTATCCTTGAAGAATGTTCTCTGATGAAAGGTTGGGAACCTTTTGGTGAACAATTAACAATCAAGCAAAAGGTTTATCAAAAACAGTGTAAAATTAATTTTAATCAGTCAATACTTTTTGATAAGCTTAATGGTTACATTAGGATTCTGTTTATTGGATTAACCTTATTCTCATTCACCTTGGATTTCATGATATTCCAGTATGCAGTTTATTATCCAACGATGATTTCAAAAGGAGCAGCATATTGTTGGTCATTAATTGTTTACTACTCAACATATCGATTTATTTATAAATCATCATTTTTTACCCAATTAACTTAATCATCACCAATGTATCCATCCAAAAATGGGACAAGATAAAAAAAGGCAACGAGAAAGACAACAATTTGATTCATCTGTTCCCATGAAAATCACAATGGAAATCCAAATGATTAATGATAATAATAATAGTTACCTAATAACCCAGGAGCACATAATAACCACCATAAAGTGTGCCAATTGGTTAGTTATAACACGTTGATAAATCGCCAGGACAAGACCGAAATCAATGGTTAACTAAATTGTTCAGTTTATTTGATAATCTTTGTCCTGCCTTAGCATTTATCATTAAATTAAATTTAATCTTTTCTCCCTCTTCCAACAGGATTTATGATGATACCTATCGGGGATTGACCTTAAAATTATATGATAACAATTGACTGTAAATATAGAATCAAATAAATCGGGATGTTGGTCAGTTAAGTTTGATTGTTATTACAACTAAAGCCTAACGAAGGTGAAAATTAAATACATAATATAAGGTGAAGGTGATTTCTCAATATGTAATAATAACAATAGTTAATAATTGTAGTATATTGTTCATTGGGGAAATTGATTGTTACCTGACCGCCGTCATCATAATACAATTACATGTATTATTATTGTAATAATACAACAATCAAGAGGTTTGAGATGCTATGAATATGCAAGAAAAAAAAACTATCTCCAAGGTTAAAGGTATAAAAAAAGATGAAGATAAGAAGATGAAAAAAGTGACTAGATGAGAGGAGGAGGATGAGAAATGTCATCTCAGCAGGTAAACAGGTAACCAAGGGATCTAAAGGTAAGAGCCTTAAAGTGACCAGCAAGGAACCAACAACAACTCTAACCACTGAAGATGATGATCAGTATGGGTCAATCTTTCTCGATGATGATGATGATGATGATGATGAAGGAGGGATAAATCGAGATGATGAGAAGACAGGTAAGTACATCATCTTGTAAGAAAAAAAAACTCCATTGGAAGTCAATAGAATCTTTTGAAAATTTTGTTCCTCTTTAAGAGTAAACTGTTGATTCGGAGTTTATTTAAATGGATTTAAAAGATTTACCTTTTTTTATGTTTCCACAGTTAAAGGTAATCAGCACCTTACCTCATCTTTAATTAATCTTATCTCCATCATCTTAATCATCTTAATCCGTATATTGAAAAGTTGAGTAAAGTTTTCTTGGTAAAATGATGAAACTTTCCAGTTGTTGATCAATTAGTTGTTGTAATTGTCCAACAGGAAGGATGTTGATGCTAAATTGTTGATGTTGATTAAAATACCGAAACTTTTTGATTGATATTAATTAGATGACCATTTACAGGTAACAAATCTGATAACAGGTAATGTTTTTTTAGCTCACCTGTAACCACACACATTGACAACATTTTAAATTAACATTAGATTAGATTAGATTAGACTTGATCTCACACACGTTGAGGATTAATTGTTAATCACTGACAATCAAATTAACTTTTTTTCTTCTTCTTTTTGCCAGCAAATTGTTTTTATTTTTTTCTTATCATTTTGACAACTTTCAAAGTTAATCAACTAATCAAAATGTTGATGGAATCATTTTCATTATCATTTAACTAATCACGCTAATCCAATCTGTTACTTAATTGTATTAATCAACTTTACGTAACACCAAATTGTAAAGTTTTAATTACTATGGATAATTTAAGTTATTCAATGGGAAATTAATTGAGTTTTGAGACTAAATTTTTGTAAAAATCGGAAATTAATTATTAATCTACTTCCGTTAGTATGTTAATCGTCATTGGGAACATTATGTTGATTAGTTAATTGTAATTTGAAATTAGATTGATTTGAATTAAGTCTAACTCGATTGTTATTGAAAGTAATTAAAATCTCATTGGTTTTGATTATTAAGGTTGACATCAGAAAATTAATAAAGGAAACTCATCAATCAGAAAGTTAATTGTGATTAACAAGGAAACAAGTTAATCTTGATTGTGTTAATTGTGATTTAATTGAATCATTGAAAAGCAAAGGTAAATCCAACGATCCATTGAAAATAATCAAACAAGTTGACAACAATTAAAACTATTAACAAATCAGCGGATTAACATTAATCCCAATTTCCGTTGCAATTAGCAAGTGAATTAATTATTAATAGTTAATGAATAATGAGAAAGTATCAAATTTAATCACCTGTCAACTGAATGAAATTATGATTATGAAATTAACATGATGATGATGATACAATTGTATTAAAAGTAATCAATGAATGATAGGATTAAATTGTTACGATGATGATTAACTTTATTATGATTAGTTTAAATGGTCCCTCTAATTATTGTCGGTAGTGGTCAAGGTTGACCTGATCACGAAACAAACAGGAAAACACAATTAATTTAAATGATAATAAGAAACTTAGTATATTGAATTAAAAGGTTCTCAAGTAAATTGCTAACAATTTACTGATCCAGTTAATGGTTAATCTAAGTGTAATTGGAAACACTTTCAATGGCAACCATAAGTTGCCCTTTACAATTATTGATGGTCAAAGGTAAGTGGGTGGTGGTCAGCGGGGTGGGAAAGGTAAGCCTTTTATTACCTGTTCAAAAGGCTAAAAATAATCGTGTCTATGTAATTATTTTTTACCTTTACAATGATTAAGGTAAATTGTTAACAATCAATGAAAAGTGTAATTGATTGACAATTAACGTTTCATTTGTGTTGAAACAATTTTACAACAATCGGGAAATGAATTGATTTAATTGCTCTTTATTGGCGAGAAAATAAAATGATGAGGAACAATTAACAACAATTAAACTAATTTAGTTCCTTTTGTTTCAATCAATATCATGTTTCGTTTCATTTTTTTTAAATCATTTGTTTCATTCATCTTGTGGATTAAGGATTAACGTAAAGGATAATCTCTCACTCTCTCTCTCTAAGGTAAGTTTAGATTATGATTTTTTTTTAATTTCTTCCTTTTCTTAATTGATTAAAAAGTCATTAAACTTTTCTAATTACAATCAAGTGACTAGTTAATTAGCTTAGGGGTTTATGGTTATTATATGAAAATGTCTTTCGGTTTTAATTGTTGCTGTTTCCATTGTTTTCATTATACACCAAGAGACTTTAATTGTGATTAGAGAGGTTAATTTTTCTGGATCAACAATTATAATTAAGATGATGATGATGATTAAGGAAACAGGGATAATCTTTGCCAATATTTTGCACCCAAATCTTTTAATCCTCAATTTGAATTGCGACTGTGTCAACAATTAATTATCGCATGATGTTTACATGTAGTAACCTTAATCAGTCGAGTGGATAAAGTTGATTACATTGGTGAAAATTAAATTAACTTAATTAATCAAAGTGAATATAATTTTATTTCTTAATTGTTGACGATTTACAAAGTTTCACCGGCGGGAAAATCAGCAAACTTTCAGGTAAGAAATTGGTGAAAACTTTACCCTTTTTTTTTGCTTCATTGTTAATCACAATTAACATACTAGTTAATCAACTCATCTAATTGTTACAATTATCCTTGTCTTAACCCAATTAAAAATTATCAATCAAATTGATTACATTGAGACACACAAACAGTAATCAAGTGTTATTGATTAGATATCTAATTGATTGTGAAGCTTAATTTTCAAGAGTTGTTCAAGGTAACAATTAATTTGTTTAAACGGCAATTAATTAATTTACACAATCAATTAAATCAATTGATAACTTTAACTTTAGGTCTTGGATGATCAGTTGATTAGATTATCATTTTTTGTTTCTCTCTCTCTCATTCAATAGTTAATTTTATGCAATGATTAAAGAAACAGAGTTAATTGTTACTTATTAGAATTGATTGTCAAGTAGAAAGTCACTTCGTAATTAACTTTTTTAATCAACAATTTATTATATTAATTTACAATCAGTTTCAAGTATCAATCTCAAGTGAGTCTATTTGATTGTTGTAAATAAAAAAAAAGGTGCGATAAAGATTATTAATCATTTAGACAATTACAATTAAGAAATCGGATGATGATGATTAATAAATTGCTAATAATTATCACTATTATTGAGACGGTAAATTGTTTGATTAAGAAATAAAAAAATAGGATAAATTATCTTGATTATCAAGATTAATTAATAATAATCAAGTATGAGAATTGAGAATCAACAATCAACAATCACTCATAAGCAATTGATTAATCTAATTGTGCAATTCAATTCTAATTGTTTAAATCCTGTTTTAAAGTGAATTCAGTTAATTGTTATCTCTTGATTTACTAATTTTTTGTTAATTTCTTTCAGTGTGATTGACCATAATGGCCAGTAAATTAGCTTATCCATTTTTAGCCAAATTCAGGACAAAAAGTAAATTATATCAACAGTTTCTCATTGAACTTGTTGGTACCTTCATTTTAATTGTGAGTCAAATTGAAAGTGATTAACTTGATGATTGGAGAGGATTAATTGTGATTTGTGTTTTCCAGGTACTTATTGACAATGCAGTGGCTACTTACAGCTTTGGACACACCTCAGATCACTTTGCAATAGCCACAACCGCGGGTGTCGGACTTTACATTGCAGTTGTTTTTGGTGCTACAGTTTCAGGTAATTAGTGTTAATTAGTTGTAGTGGTTGTTAATTGTTGTTGGTATTAATTGATTGGGACTGATTTTTTCCTTACAATTCAGCTGGACATGTGAATCCGGTTGTTACTTTTGCACTTGCAACTTTGAAAAAGTGTCCATGGCGATCGGTTCCCGTTTATTTCGCCGGTCAGTTTATCGGCGGTATGGCTGCGGCATTGGTCAGTTTCGCGAATCAAAGGTTGGCCATTGTTTCTCGAGATGGACTTAACTCTTCGATGGCGAGTAAAACTGTCTCTCTGTTCATGTCCAATCCTGGAATTCGACCAGTTGACCACGAGACTGTGATCGTTGATCAAATTCTTTGTGTTGGAATTTTAATGTTCGCCATAATGGTTCTAATCGATGGTTCAAATGACCACAACTCTAAAAGAACCACACCTTTTGGATTACTTTTTATTCTGATTGCGGTGATCCTCGCTTTCGGTTCCAATGCTGGAGCAGCGATCAATCCAGCTCGCGATTTACCTGCAAGACTTTTCGCCCATTTCATTGGACTCGGCGATATGTGGTCAGATTGCTTCTGGCTTACCGGAAGTACTTTAGGTCCATTCCTCGGGGCAGTTATCGGTGCCTGGGCTTACTATTTGTGCGTTGAAATTCACAGGATTGACGATGAACGAACAGGATCCGCTCCTCATGAATTACATTTACTAGATTTAGAAAAGACTTTGGAAAAACTTGAAGTGCTAATTGAAGCTGAAAAGTCAACTAAGAATAGAAACAAATTATTGGATTAAGATCAATCATCTAATCACCATGGAGATCATCTTATTCATCCAACAACAATTTACCAAATGTAATAACTATTAGATAAAATCATTGAAAATTAAACTCATTTACCAATAATAATAACAGTTAATGTCTCACAAATGATATTAGTTGTCAATTGTTACACTTCAAGAATCAATTTGTTTTGAAGCAGAAAAAATAAGACCAAATAACAACAATCAAGATCAACAAGTGGATTAGATTAACAAGATGATGGATTAAAGGTTTTCTTCCTTGGATTATGTTTCTTTATTTATAATCCACAATGACAATTGTTATTTTTAAATATTCTCATGTTGTTGTTAATCAGTTTCATCTTTCTATCAGTTGGACAAATGAATTTAATGAGGACAAATTATCTTTCTAGTGGTCATCTCCAATTCGTATTCTTTATGGACAATATTTGCTTGTCCATGTTTAAAGTAATTTATATGATTAATGATTACGAGAGAAAAAGGTTTAGATTGTGATTAGAAGTTAATTTAGATCTTAATCGTTCAGATTGATGATGATCGAGTGTAACTGTGCTGTTGTCCACTCAATGTCCATCTCCTTTCATAATGTACAAGAGGCTTGAGATTTGGGAGAAGAAAAAAATAACAACAGATAAAGATGATTATGATTATCGTATTATTATTACTGGACATTGGTCGATAATGACAAGGACGATTTTTCATCTTCCCTTTTTTGACAATAATGACAATCAAATGATCAATTGAAAGGTAATTGTAACGGCAAACAAAGACGGACGATGGTCAACACAACGAACCAACAAGACTGAGAGAGGCAAGACAAGTATATAATATAAGAGGAAATTGGTCATTTACGAAAAAAAAAGAAACACAAATGACCAAAGGAAAATGATGAACAAAAGTTTCTTCAGGTAACTGGGTCACTTTTTTTTTCTATTACACTTTTGGTTTACCTTCGTCATGTCCATTACTCTATCACCATAGATGTCTAACTATAGCCAACAACTGACCACTGATAAGAGAAAGATAGTAATCATGAATCAAAAGAAAGCGATACCTGAATGTAACCTTAACTAACCTCAACTAATGTGGCAAAGAGTAAAGTGGACATAAGGTAATGGTCATTTTGATTCTTTCTCTTCATTACTTTTTTTTTCTTCTTTCGATTTTGCTTTTCAAAGGCTTAATAGAGGGAAAAGGGTTCCTTGGTTGAGTGGCTTTCTCTTTCTTTTAGATGGACAATTGGAAGCAGAAAAAACCAACGAGATGGACACACTGTGTGTGTGTTACATTGGTCAATAGTCGCCACTGTTTATGTGTCGTATTGTGACCATAGAGAAGACGAAGAAGAAAAAAATGCTCTACTTTTTGAATGATGATGATGCCGGTAAGATGATGATGATGATGATGAAAGTTTTAAAAAGGAAGAAGAAAATAAAGTCAGATGGACAATGGTCAGTCTTTATTTTTTTTTCTCTTTCGCTTTTTTTGCTTCCATTTCTTTAGTGTGTCAACGTTTAGGCGTTCTCGTTACTCGTCACCACCATTGTTACCTCTGTGTGTTTGTTGGTCATCGTCATCTTTATCTTCATCATTATTATCATCATCATTGGTCAACATTATTATTAGGCCTCTACTATATTATATATACACATACAGGGTGTCCTTTTAAAGGTACAATTCTCATCTCAATCTCTTTGTTGTATATGTGCATTAACCATGATTAGGAAAAGGTTTCTCTTTCTTTCTCTCAATTATCATCATAATCATCAACAGAATGATACAATTATAACAATAAAATCGTAATAATAAGAAAGAAAGGGAAAAGAGTGAGTGAGTGAGAGAGAGAGAGAGAGAGAGAGAGAGAGAGAGAGAGAGAGAGAGAAAGGTAATATAACGACAATAGTAATAAAAGAAGACAGAATCGAGAGAGAGAGAAATAAGAAACCAATTGATCTATTATCACAATTATCAATTGTTATCAATCGTCGTCATTATGAGAGAGAAACAACTGACCAGAGTGACCAACATATTCAACAAGAGGTGAGACTCAATTGAATCCTATTATTATCTCTGTGTGTCCATTAGTTTTCAATGTAAATCTAATAATAAGTTTTACTAACTTTAAATTAATCAGATAAATATTACAAAGTAAACTAATTATCAACACAATTTGAATAAAACAACAAAATTAAATCTTTCAAATCCCAGTCAGATTAAACAATCAAAACTAAATCATCTTCAGGTAATTGTAACATTTAAAAATCAACTTATACATAATTTGAATCTTTATCAGAGTGAAAATCAATAACAAATAATAATAATGAATAATAATAAATAGCTAATCTTAATTGTCTTAACATTTAGTTTTACTTCATAACGATTTAACCATAAATTTAAACACAGTTATCAGATTGGTTAATATTTTCAAGGTTAATTTTAAATTGAAGGTCAACAGGTTAACATGAATGTGTTTAGATTGTTATTAAATGTGAAAGTCCATTTAAATTGATATAGATTTTTGAATTACCGGCAATTAAAGGTGTGGCTTAAGTGCTCTATGTATATTAATACAGTTTGTGATTTACAATTTACCGATTGTAATACAATTGTAATCATAAGTAATCATTAAATTGTATTAAAATTACGATAATAAATATGAGCATAAAATATAATCAGTAGACACTAAAAATATTAGTGAGAAAAAAAATCACGATGACCAATGGAAGAGAGAGAGAGAGAGAGAGAGAGATGGTCAAGGAGTGAGAAAGGAAAAAAATAGAAACTAATAATAAGGATAATAACTAACTAACTATGATAAATATAATAATAATAATGGTAAAAATTGACCATTGTAAACATTTTGAGAAAAGTTGTCATTGTGCAAAGTGGCCTTCGTGTTGTCCAGTTTGTCCAGTGAAAACTGATGGACAACAACAGAAGCGGGAAATAAAAGGTCAAGCTTTTTTCTTGTCAATGAAAAAATATCAACGATTGGACACACAACTACAACAACAACAACAAATGAATGGACAATCAAAACCAAGTGAAGTAGACACAAGTATATTGACCAGTGTGTATATACAGAGGGTCACTAAAAATATATTAATACAAATGAATGGAAAGTATTTATATATTTCATTTCTTGACAATTGGTCAAGTTTTTATTTGAACAATAATCATTTTCTTAAATGAGAATATTTTTCTCTCTCTTCCTTGACCAGTCGAGTACAATCAACAGCAACAATTTGCTAACATTTGGACATTACAATCATATGATTTAATGAAAGATTAAATTTATTACTTTTCAATCAACAATAGTTTCAATTATTCAATTGAGAAAATGATTCCATAATTATTTACCTAACAACATGTCAATCAATGGTCACTACACTTATTTTGATTACCCTTTGACCTTCGAGTATTAATTACTGACCACTTAATGAATATATAAGGAGTATTGGTCAAGGTTATCATGATTGAATAACCTTAGCAATGGTCAAGAGCCGATTATGATGATGAGTATAATTTTAATTTCTAAATTTGATTAAGTTACTTGTTAATTTACATTATGAATTATTGATTATCGTTATGGTCAAGGAGAAGGTGAATGATTAGAATGTCCGAAAAAGGGATTTCTTTGATTCTATTAATACACTTGACCATTGTTAAGGAGACTCTTTAAGTCGGATTAAAGAGATTTAAGTTTATGTTATTATTTAGTGATGAGACTCTTGAGATGATGGAAAGTGATTGACCAAACTGACCAATTGAAAAGGAAAAGAATTAAATTTCAAGTCAATAACTTTAACTAAAGTCCAATCATCTCTAACAATTACTGACCAATCCATTTAACCCTTACCATTGATTAGGAAATTATATTATTTTTTTTTTCCTCTTCCAGTTAGTAAATTGTTTGGTATTTTCAATGAAATCCATTAAAATCTTATGGTCACTCTATGGTCAACTGAAATGAAAAACTAATTCTCTTGTTATCATTTACCTTAAATGGACATAAAATTATCATAAAATTGTATTGGTCACTAGAGTTAACCAACCAAAGGTTGACCAATGGACATATAAGGTAATCAATAAAACTTTTTAAATCTCATTAAAAGTTTAAGGTTTCAAGTTAACAAGATAAACAAATGTAACTAAATCAATCTTCAAGTTAATCATTATCATTACACCCTCTCATCTGTAATGGTCAACTGGTCAATTAGATGGTCAATTATTATGTAATTCAAACAATTATCAACTTTTATCATGATGAGATGATGAAAAAAAAACTAAATTGCAATCTAAATGTAAATCACATTGACAGTTGTTGATAAAAATTAAATTGATTGATCCAAATGATTTGCATTTGCAATTTATTTTTATCAAACACTATTAACTATCAACTATTACAATTTAAATTGCAATTTAAGGTAAATTATATAATCATAACCAATAATGTGAGTGGAGGAAAGTAAAAAAAAAACTACAAACTGATCTCATTGATGAAAAGATTACAGGTAAACATATTTTGTTGTTTATGATCCAAGTTGAGGTCAATCAATGGTCATTAGACTGCTGACCAGTGACGATGATGATGAGAAAATGTAATTTTGTAAAAAAAACGTGAATTCATCTTCATCATCATCTTAAGGGCGTTTTGTATTTTACCTTTGTACTTACAGGTAGGGCTAATGGACCACCTTATAGATGAAGATGATTGAGAATGAAAATTTTACTTCTTAATCATGGTCATCTTGTTTTTCAGCTAATCAAGTTAATCATCAATCAGTTGATTGTCACATACAATTGATCATAATGATCATGATCAATTCAAACTTTACTTTTTTTCGCGTTGATTGTTGATTGTTGATGTTTTTTACAATTAAATTAACTCCATTCTGACGATCATCATCATTTGATCAGCTTTTGGATATTCAACTTAATTAATCAACTAAATTTTAGTCTAATTGTTGTTTAAACCTCCCCATTAATTAAGGCGTTAACACTTTATCTCCATCTTTAGTTGATTGTAATTAAACACGGTAACAATTAACCAAACCCAGTTTCATCATTAAATCATCAATATCTAAATCAACTGCCTCTTTCAGTAGC